CTGTTCATCATAGAAGACGTTTTGCCTCTCATCCGAGAAGGCCTCATCAGTTCATGCAACAAGGTTTGGTTAGGACTGGTCCAGACTTGTTGCGTGAAGTCTCGATATGAGAGGTGAAACGTCTTATTACAGCAGTGAAGGCGTTTCTTTATTTTTGCTGTTGACTGAAAACATAATGCGGTTGGCATGAAAAAAAAACAACACGGGACAAGAGATCAACATTTCAGCTTTTATTTTGTGGTGTTTGCAGTTGGATCAATTCAGAGCACCTTTAATTTGAACCCTCTGATGTTGAATGGGAGTAAAAATATAGTAGCGCCTTCACTCGTGTGCAGTGTTGTGCGGTCGCGTCATCACAAGTAGCGTCATTAACTCATAACTAGTTCAAAAAAGACATATAATTCTGGAGCGTTTCAGTAGTTAACTCATTACTAATTTAAAAAAATTCTGGAGCGTTTCAGTAGTGAAGTCATTGCCTTAAACGTCTGCCGCTTGTTTTGAAGAACATCTAACTACCAGCAGGCATTACAATTCTTGGGCATCTCATCCATTAAATGTGGAGTAACATCTGTTCATTAGTCTTTGGGTCCATTCATGCAGCATATGTCAAAATTTTTTTCTTAGTCCCATAATTTCCAGACTATAGAGCGCACCTGATTAGAAGGCGAAACCACTACATTTTTAAAGGAAAAAAATATTTTGTACACACATAAGCCGCACCTGTGTATAAGCCGCAGGTGCCCATATTGTAACATGAGATATTTACAAAGAAAGACGGTACACAGGCGGCCGTTAGAAAAGTCTTTATATAAGCCGCTTCATGAAATAAGCCGCAGAGTTGAAAGCGTGTGACAAAAGTCGCGGCTTATAGTCCGGAAATTACGGTATATAAGATTATTCACTGTATTAATTGTATGTAGTTAATAGGGGAATTGCATGATATATGTATATTTTTTTGTGTCAACGCTATGATGAAAATCCTGTCTGTCAACTAATCCTTTGAATCTAATTGATATGATTTCAGTCCTGTAATTTAAAAAAAAAAATCACAGGAGGAAGGAGTGCTTTGCAGTTATGTATATTCACTGTCAATAGATAGCTGCTATACAGAATTAACGCGAAACAAAACAGCATCGACGTGGGTTTGTCACCCCTGTTCTAGGCCTACCCCAGCAAAGCGTTTCGTTTGGTGGGTATTTGTTGGCTCTGCCTCTTCCTCAACGCAAAAATAATTCATGAGTAGTTGTGATGCTCCAAACGTCATTGTGGAATTGTAAAGTCGACATATCTACCAGTCTGTACAACGATTACTGAGTGTAATGTCTCTTTCGCCTCAGGTATAGAGTTAACAGAAGACGGCTCTTTCGATGGAAACAGTCATTTCACTATTCGAGGTCGACTGATGTCGTTGGTGGAAAAAGTGTCTTCTCTGAAGAACAAGATTGTCAATCCGCCAAAGGAAAATGCAGATAGACAAGGCAGTAAGTTACCTGTATCCTAAAATCTGCACCATGCATAAATATGAAGCTAAGCAGTGAGGAATAGGCAACTCCTTTTTTCGTGATTTTTATTTATTTTTTTGCTCTTTGCTTTGGTGCCATCTTGTGGCTATCTTGGTGAAAAGGACCTATGTTCATTTAGTAAGTTCCACTGTCTGTGGCGTTTTCATGTTATTTTCAGAAAATAACATAAATTGTCAGGAACAGTGGCAATGTAAGATGGCCGCCCTCTGGCTTCATTCCCAATTCACGATACTGACATAACGCTGAAGGGGCAACACAAAGGGTGAAGTTCTTTCTTTGAGATGCTCACATTACTCCATGAATCATAAATTATTCATGTCCCCTCTCAACCTTAACAATGTGTAAAATGAATGTTTCCACAAAGCTCAAGATGTCAGCAGAGTTTTAGTTTATTGGATAATTTAGCTATCTGATTGACCGGAAATAAAGATTTATTGTCGGGAATCTGCTTGTAAGATTGTATCCATTTCTCTCCATTTGTCTCATCAGGTACATTACAGCAATTGATTTCAGAGACGATGGTTCGCTGGGCTCAGGAGTCGGTTATCGAGGATCCAGAGCTTGTCAGAGCCATGTTTGTCCTGTTGCACCGACAGTATGATGGCATTGGAGGACAGGTTCCATCCTGTTTTGTTTTTTTTTTTTGTTTGTTTGTTTTTTTTAATTTCCATCTTCCGAAATTGTCAACAAGTAAAGCTTATTGCAGGCAAAATGATAGGTGGCAGGGAGAACCTTCCCATCTGTGTCAAAATGGTGAAATGCCAACAAAAATGATTACATAAGGTGGATTCAGAGATACAATTCTGGAGTTTCTAAAAGATAGAAAGGCTGAGCTGGACGATTCTGCATTGAAATGAACGCTTTGCTGCTTTTAAGAGCAGTTCTTTTAGTACTCTATCATTATCCTCGCTAAATTGAAACTTTCCTTTATGTCATTATTGAAATAAACCAGTGTGCTCTCTGAGTCATTAATTATTTTTTTTACAGTAGACTGATATCAGTTAGGTTTTCTTAAATGTACAGTGCTCTCCCCCTCCCCCCGCCCCCTTTGCAAAGCATTGGATTATTTCATGCTCTTCCAAAAAAAAAAAAAAAGGTATTTCCTTACCTTGAAAGAAAACTGACTCGCATTCATGTAGAAAAAGCTAATTCAGGAATTACGCTAATTCGGCTTTGCTGGGGAACAAATCATCTAACCCGATTGAAAATTGTCCCAGCGATCATAAATAGAGGATACACATCCTAAATAAATCCTTCAATTCCATTTCAAATGTTTATTTCACTTGAATCCCGCATGCGTTGTAATTAGGAACACAACGTAGTCTAAAAAAATTAAATGATGACATTTACGTCCATGAAAATAGTATTGCTCAATGTTAAAGTGTGTCTGTGTCTTCTCCGTCTAGGTTCGGGCCCTCCCCAAGACTTACACAATAAACTCGGTATCAATCGAGGACACCATCAACCTGCTTGCTGCTCTTGGACAAATAAGATTGTTGCTGAGCGTACGAATGGGAAGAGAGGAGGAGAAGCTGATGATAAGGGGACTGGGGTGAAAAACATTTCCTCTTCTGTTCCTACAATCAACATTGGATTCACAAAACAATCTTTTCCGTTGACAACTTTAAACTTGGTGCAGAATTGTCAACCTATTCCATTGGTGGCCTTTTTTTTTTTAGACTGGATTTTTAAATCAAGCAAGTGTTCGTATTTGGATACAAACGTCAAGTGACAACGTGTTTTATTTTCTTCTGCAGTGATATTATGAACAATAAAGTCTTCTACCAGCATCCTAACTTGATGAGAGCTCTGGGGATGCATGAGACTGTCATGGAGGTCATGGTGAACGTACTCAGTGGCGTTTCTAAGGTATGCAAGGGCCGCCTGAAATATTAAAGATCTGCCAAGTGCATTCATTTTTTTTTTTTTTTTTAATTCTCGTCTCACATAAAAAGAACTTCCCCAACACGGCCATAACTTTAATATGAAGTCATATAAAATGTGATTGTTTACATAAGACCGATGTTTGTTCAGCAGTGTTTTGACAAAAGAATCGATTAGCTCGACATTCGGAATTCTTTCGACTGTGGGGAAATGATGATTTTCCAATTTGAAGCAATGAAGGTAAAGTGGAGTTCACTATTTCGTTTCAACCAGCAGAGGCACTGATGAATTCAATCTGACCGAAAAAAAGACCAACATGACATCCGCACTGGAAAGTTGATCTGCATCCATGCTTTGATGACTTTTGTGGGCAATACTAATCTGCTCAATGCAACAAATGGAAACATAGTTCTGAACACTTACAGAGTTTATCCCATTGTTTTAAAAATTGATATTTTTTTAAATAATTCTACTGCACTCATCACTCAATCCAAAAATAAAGTTTGGTTTTCACTTTGGCATTTTTGGTCTTTCCTCTTGTTACAATAGCCAATATCTTATCTTGACGTTTTGTTTTGCAGGAAATCACCTTTCCTAAAATGGTGGCCAACTGCTGTCGTTTTCTTTGTTACTTCTGTCGAATCAGCCGTCAAAACCAGAAAGCCATGTTTGACCATCTCAGCTACCTGCTGGAAAACAGCAGCGTTGGCCTTGGTGAGTTCCTGTCCGAGTAGAGCTGCACAGCCTTTCATAATATGCAACTGATCGAACGCCAAGGCAGGCACAGAGAGTAACTCTTTATTCCGGTAATTTTCAAACAAAAAGTGCTCCTGACGAGTTGGTGTAGTCATACAAAGTACTAAATTATAAAAAGTACTTCCTGTAAGTGCCACTAAAAAAGTGCTACAGAGTGGGGAAATACACAGGGGTAGTATTTTCAGGAAATAGACTAAATGGTTGTGTCCTTGATATTTGTACTGTCTTGTGTTCTCCTCAGCATCTCCATCGATGCGAGGAGCCACCCCTCTTGATGTGGCTGCTGCGTCAGTGATGGATAACAATGAATTGGCCCTTGCTTTGAGAGAGCCAGATTTGGAGAAGGTGAAGCTCATCATATGTATCATTCGGAACGTGTGTACGGTCACACTTGTGGATTTGCCAGAAAAAGGTTCACCTCGCTTAGCTGATGTTCTGCATATAGTGTATGCTGAGGCTTTGGAACCAGCATTTGCATCCTAAAATTGACAGATGCTTGAGTTTTACATGCAGCAAATATTTCAATCAACTTCCCTTTTAATGGTAATTGGCGGTAACTTGCATGTTGTGGGTAGGTTGTGCCCCACCCGCTCATTGGGCGTTATCATAAATAGACGCCCTTAACAGTGTTGGCTGTATGAGCTTTTGGGAGTACAACGATAGTAGGTGTATTGTCATTTATCACAACTAATAAATCATAAAAAGAGTACAGGCCCCAAAATCATGACATGGACGAAAACCTCACGTGCTCCCATTCATGTCAATGTAACTGCTGTGTGTTGTGATATTCCAGCTGCTGTAATAAGTAGCAGAAAGTGTGCATCGTCATATATTTGTATGCCATGTGTGAGTCACGACTGTAGGATGTGAGCCGCCCGAACCAAATCAAATCTCCGTCCTGCGAGCACACACACCTAAACAACAAGTAGCGATGATGACCCGTCACTTGATGTATGCCACCGGGCATTCAACGGATTATTGTTGCCCGTTTTTGGCTCATGGGTCCACGAGCTAATGCTAAAATTAGCTGTGTGTTTTCCGGTGTAAGGTAGGAGGGAGAAACGGCGGCGAGGACAATAACAGACACGAGTCAGAGTCCCGTGAGTGCCTATCGCAAAATATTTGTGGTATAGGAGTGCCATAAGCAGGAGCTAATTGTCTTGATATGTGATTGTGATACATATAGCCAACAGAGGGCGCTGTGGGTTTAGAGTTGATAGCATATGACAAGGCTTCCGGTAAACACAGTTCACGGAGATCACCATGCGTGCTGGCAACAATAAAGTTGAGCTCAGGCACATTTGTTCACTAAATGATGGCTCATCATATTAAGATGAACAACACACTAATGATAAAGTGGCTGCAATTATTGGCTCAGTCGGGCCATTTGATGACAGCGATACACATTTTTTGAGGTTAAAACCCCGAAGTGTGTGCAGACTCACTTTTATGAAGTCATCCCCAACTAAATGTACAACGAATGCAGCACAATTCTGGTTGTGAAATGCTGACTAATTCCTCTACAAATATAATGAAGCCAGTATATCCTCAACTCCTCCAAGGTTGGCAGGTGATCAGATTTATGGTAGGCGCATAGCTGTTAAGCCATGTTTCTTTTGAAGGGCTACTGCATGAAAAATAAAACCAACCCCCCCCCCCCCTCCCGAAAAATCCATAAATGTCAAACTTTAACCATGTTACATGTTACTCATTTTGATGTTATGCATGTGAAAAAATTCGATTTTGATACCATGGGACGTTTAATTTTTTTAACTTGATGTGCACTTGCTTAGGTGTTTATTTTTCTGAATCAGTATGAATACATGTGATTATTTTTCTTCTCAGGTCGTTCAGTATCTGGCTGGCTGCGGACTGCAGAGCTGCACGATGCTGGTGTGTAAAGGATATCCCGACATTGGTTGGAACCCCGTCGAAGGAGAACGCTACCTTGACTTCTTGCGTTTTGCCGTATTTTGCAATGGTGAACATTGAGCTCTTTAATATTTCTGCATCATTCTTTTTCTCTTCTTTCTTCAGCTCCTAAATTAATCAAGTTCTTGCCAAAGTAGCGCTCGGCACTACAATTGAGTTCTTGCTCTTCTGCGATAGGTGAAAGTGTGGAAGAGAATGCTAACCTTGTGGTGAGACTTCTTATCCGCCGACCGGAATGTTTCGGCCCAGCACTTCGGGGAGAAGGCGGTGACGGATTGTTGGCCACAATGGAAGAAGCAATTAAGATTTCCCTTGATCCCTTCAGAGATGGTCCTTCCTCTGCATCGGAAAGCAGCAACATTCTGTAAGACAGTGCCCAAAATTAAAAACACCATGCGATCACAGTTAGTATTGCATTCACTATATTTTGAGACTGTTACTTGATAGTCTGCAAGCTTATTTTGTTTTTACACAGAGGAGTGTTCAAGGAGAATTGAGTCATGGATGAATAACCTCTGAACCCCAAAATAAATAAATATACAGTCAAAACTCCGTTTTCGAACGTCTCAGTTATCGACCAAATCGGATTTCGACCAGAAAATTCAAGATTTTTACGCCTCAGATTACGACCGAAAACGGTTTTCGACCAAACTGAGCAAACCCGAATACGCCACTCGACTCCTCTCTGCTTCCTTGCACGAGGAAGTGACGCTTCCTCGTGTAACGTTTCTTGTGAGCAGACCGTGTTCAATAAAGATTTTTTTTTTTTTTAAAAAGAGCATGGTTTCGGTTTTCGAATAAATCGGGTTTCGAAAACCCTTCTTGAAAGGATTACATGTTTAAACCCTGGAGAACCCAAGAACCCTTTTCTTATTTGGAAAATGATGAATTATACATGAAATGACTGCTATATGTTAACTGAACACCAAAATATATGTTTTTTTCAAATATTTAATGCTTTAATCCTAATTTACTATTCGGGCCAAATTTGACCCTTTGGGATTTAAGGGTAGCATTTGAGTAGCAAAATTTTATAGGGGCCAAATTTGACCCCGTGGGTTCTCCAGGGAAATAGAGAGAGAGAGAGAGAGAGAGAGAGAGAGAGAGAGAGAGAGAGAGAGAGAGAATGTCAGGGTTTAGTGTGAATCCACCAATAGTTGCTGTTATTATATAAATGAACAAATACAAATCAATAAACCAAACATACACTAGAGTTCAAGTATTATCCAATTGTGTGTGTGTGTGTGTGTATACCTATACAGTAATGATGGGCTACAGGAAGAAGATGATACCATCCACTTGGGGAATGCCATCATGACCTTCTATGCGGCTCTCATTGACCTTCTTGGACGTTGCGGTCCAGAGATGCATGTGAGTGACACAAACAAACTCTCACATACACACACACACACACACGATTTTATCATAACCTAATCTATCACTATAATCCTTTTGCATCAGTTGATACACGCCGGTAAAGGTGAAGCAATCCGCATCAGAGCCATTCTAAGATCTCTGATTCCCATTGAAGATCTTGTGGGGGTCATCTGCATTCCATTCTCGATGCCGAACCTGGGAAAAGGTAACTACACCTCCTGTATCAGCTTCAATATTAGTATATCATCTCTTATTATTTTAGGTAAGAGTGAAAACTGGACAAATGTACTACTGTAGTATATTGCCTTACCCAGATGGAGTGGTGTTGGAGCCAGACATGTCAGCTGGCTTCTGTCCCGATCATAAAGCGGCCATGGTGCTGTTTTTGGACCGTGTATATGGTGTACAAGATCAGAATTTCCTTCTTCACCTGCTGGAAGTCGGCTTCCTACCAGACCTCAGAGCTGCAGCTTCATTGGACACTGTTAGTTTGGGTCCTTTGGTGTGCGTTCTATGTTTAATATTTTCTATTTTGTCGGGGTTCTTCAGGAATTGTGTCGCACACAATCTACTCGCTTCTCTGCAGTCGATCAGCAGAACGCTTTAAGAAATGGAGAATTTTGTAGCTAATGACATTTTAAAATATTTTAGGAACCGTCCCATATTGGTGTCGATTTCAACTTAATTAAGGCGTTATCGATGTGTAGCCTTTAAGCTCTACCATACAGGAACAAAATTTACAAAAAAAGATGTATGAGTTAGGAATTACACTGTGTTCCAAATTATTATCTGTTCTCGACATGGCATGAAAATTAACGAGGGGAATTATTTTGGCTAATGTAAGACACAAAATATATCAAACGTTACAATGTTTCTCCATCAATACTTTTCAATTAGCCGCTGGAGGAATTCTTTATTGCTGTGTTGTTTCGAATGGTCCAGGTGTGTTATGTTCTGGGTGGCTGCTGGAAGGCCAGCATATCTAAAGAAGGGTGTGACGTCAGAAAAGGGGAGTTACCTATTTGTCAATCAACTTTTTTTTTTCAAATGCCGTCTTGGCCCGAATATAAGATGGTGCTTTTTCATTGAAATAAGACTGAAAAAGTGGGGGTGGTCTTATATTCAGGGTCCAGCCATTATACCCATTCACGACGCTAGATGGCGCCAGATATCATTTTAGCGAATGCCGAACTTGACTCCGCAGGCCAAAGTGAACCCCTGTCACGAAGAATAAAAATAGCGGGAGCACGAAGAAGAAAAAATAGCGGTAAGAAAGAAAAGAGAAGAAAATAATAGAAGCGATAACAGAAAATTGAGAAACGTAGTGACAATCTGGTGGCAATCTGGAGAAAAGTGGGTCGAAGATCGGCCAGGTTAACCGGCAGCTGAGGAGAAGTTATGATGTGCTGTAATTTACATTTCAAAAACCAGAAGCAATTCATTTACGAATGTGATTGCACTTTAGTTTACATATTTAAATGTTCAGATAGTAAGATTTGAATGAGGCAAAATAACATGCTTTTTCTCTCAAATATATTGTTATAATCATTTGTTTCAGATGTACTGTAATTATTTTCTGTACAAAAATTTATTTAGTGTTCAAAAAGTCTTTTTTCAAACTTGAGTCTTGAAAAAGAGGGGGTCGTCTTATAATCAGGGCCGTCTTATATTCGGGCCAATACGGTACAAATTTATTTCCTGTAAATCACATTGACTATTAATAAGTGTACAAAAACAACAAATGCCTACTAATATGGAACACAGTTTACTGTATACCATATGTATCAAAGTCAAGGCCCGGGGGCCAGATCTGGCACGCCACATCATTTTATGTGGCCTGCGAAAGCAAATCAAGCATGTCAAGTTCCATGATGCTTGCTAAAGTCTGAACCAAAATTTCAAATTGTCATATGTAATCCACATTATTCATTATTCTTGACTTCTGATTTTAAAACTAGTTATACATCAATTTGTTGTGCGCTATGTAATATGTGGAGGTGATTAAACATTTATATGCTTTCCCAAAATTCATAACGGCCCTCCAAGGGAAACCGTAACAACAATGTGGCCCGCGACACAAATGAGTTTGACACCCCTGCTGTATACTATATAAACGATTGAATCATTCGCTTGGGAGCGCTTTAGCTTTCCTTTTTCCAAGTAACCATAAAATGTGTCATTTTCAGAACTGTTTCATCTCATTGTTGTATGCCTCTTTGTGGTGTTCAAATCCCCCCCACCCCTCTTTTCTTCCATGATTCTCTTTGTGTTAGGCAGCTCTTAGTGCCACAGACATGGCTCTTGCCCTCAATCGGTATCTCTGCACCGCAGTATTGCCCCTACTGACGAAATGTGCTCCACTGTTTGCGGGGACAGAGCCATTTGCATCACTGATCGATTCCCTCCTTCACACGGTTTACCGTTTGTCGAAAGGCTGCTGCCTTACCAAAGCACAGAGGGATTCCATTGAAGAGTGTCTTCTTGCTGTTTGTGGGTAAGAGGACAGTTTAAAGTTCTAAAATGGCATTTAAAAAAAGACTGCTTTGCAGCACTTACTCACGTTTGTTTGTTGACCAGTAATGGGCTCTTTGCACATAGCGCCGTGGCGTCATATCTGTTGTTGATAACCTGGTCTCTTCCGCTTCGGCGAACTCTTGAGAGGCGTGTATACATAGTCTGGAGTTGTTTTCTGTGGATATTTAACTGACACTTCCTCCCATTTTCGATGCAGTAAACTGAGACCTTCAATGATGCAGCATCTATTGAGGAGGCTTGTGTTTGACATTCCCTTGCTGAATGAACATACCAAGATGCCTTTGAAGGTGCGTCATGCGGGAATAGAATCTTTTCACCAACATTTATGTTTTAATTGAACAACCATTTCATTCTTTCAGCAAATGCAACTTGACTTGAAGTGATGTGTTTTACATCCAAGGTTTAGAAACCCCTTTTTTGAAAATGCTCTGTTACAATAGATACAAAATTTGCAAAATGCCAATTTTCCAACAGCTTTTGACCAATCACTTTGAGCGTTGCTGGAAGTACTACTGCCTGACTGGAGGTTGGGGCGGTTTTGGTGCCTCGTCTGATGAAGAACTTCACCTTTCGAGGAAATTATTCTGGGGAATATTTGATGCTCTCTCCCAAAAGGTAAGCAGAAATGTAGTATTTGGGTTACAACGGTGGTAACCCTGGACTCTTGACCGAGTTTTGTCACATGTTTACATGGACTTTCAAAACTCGAATATCGCCATTTCGAATGGTTAGTCTTAGAATTTGTCATAGCTGGACAATTACGTCGTCACTTTGTGACATTGTTGCCCTGGCGCAGGTCTATGTGCTAAAATTGATCAGCTTTCTGAAATAATTCTATTGAAGAGTATATTGCTCCATGCTACAGGACTCGACCAAAAGCATGGACGTGAATCAAATTAGCATAAAGGTCATTTAAATGATGATATGTGTGTGTCTTTGTTTGTTCAGCCATATGACCAGGAGCTGTTTAAGGTTGCGTTGTCATGCCTTAGCGCAGTGGGGGGAGCTCTTCCTCCAGATTATATGGAGTCAAAATACATGACCATGATGGACAAACAATCATCGATGGACTCTGAAGGAAACTTCACTCCACAGCCTGCAGACACTGCCAAGTATCTATATTTTGTATTTCTTTTCATCGTTTTGAATGACTGTCGCATATGAGGGGCCGTTAGGGACACAATTTTGACGCTTACTACTGAAATTCTACGAAACACACTCGTGAAATTTCTGTTGCTCGTTAACACCACTAAAATGCTCTCATGGGCAGTACACACGAGTGAAATGTTGTTTTCTCATCAACACGACTGAAATGTGCTCATACACAATGCCGAAAGGCTCTCATACTCGCATCTAAAACGCTTTCCAAACAAGTTCCTAAGTCTTATTCCTACGATTGCTCTTGTTTTGTCTTTCATAGTGTGTCTGTCCCGGAAAAATTAGACAGTTTCATAGCCAGATATGCAGAGCATAACCATGAGAAGTGGTGTTTCGAAAAGGTAAACCACATGTACATTCATTTTCCTTATAATTAAATTCAGTAAATACTTAAATGTTTAGATGATTTGGCATATCCCCCCCCCCCCCCTTTTTTTTTTTTTTCATTTTTCCAAAGGGTGGGTCTTTGGGGGAAATGGTCGGAAAATGCTTCAAATGTCAATTTAAGTGTCAACACAGGATGTCACATGAAAATACTTTTCAACGTGGAATTGTTCCATATTTCTGTATTTAGAGAAAACCTGATCTGGTCTCGTGTTGGTTTATTTGCTTTAGGATAAAGAGTTCTATTGTTGGCCAATCAGAGAGTCTCTCAAGACCATGCTTTCTTGGGGGTGGAGTATCAACAGAATACGAGAGAGTGACCCTGCCAGCAAATCTAGGAGGATATCGCTTGCCAGCCAGGTAAACATTTTCTGGACGTTTCCAGGACATTTATAGCTGGTGTAGTACGTTAGACAAGATAGTACATCCAACAATACTATTACATACCCAGCGCCACCGAACATAGTCATCATATATTTTGCGCCTTGCATGGTTTGCATTCAGCCATTACTTGGGTGTTTATTCCTTTTTCACATTTTGAGGGGACATTTTACTTTGCTTTTTCTTTCTTACCGTACTCTCTGGAGCGATAAGAAGTTTTTCATGAATCATAAAACAACAATTGCCAGTGTTTCAGCAGGCTCTCCAGATTCAATATCGGTGACTTCAACCTGCTGGTCACACATTGGTCGAATTGATTTGTCATCTCCACCCCTTTATTGAGCTTCGTACAAAGAATTGAGGATCGACTACTTGAAACAACCAAATAAACACATATGCTAGCAATTGCTGAGCCTATCCTCTGTGAAAGAAAAAAATGTCTTTATCTGACTGATTGTTTAATGTGGCTTCAAGAACAATAAAACACTCAGAAAAAAAAAAATCTGTCAACCAGTATATGTTATTCAAAACAATGTGAGCATTTAGAATAGTTGCCTGTGATTGACTGTTGACCAGTCCAGAGTGTTGTCTGGATTTCGCCCCAAGACAGCTGGGATAGGCTCCAGCGTCCTGCGACCTTGAACAGGATAAGCAAGTTTAGAAACTGGATGAATTAAGAAAAGCTTTTTTAATAACAAAACAATAATCATTTGTTCCTCAGCTGTCCTTCGAAGGAGCTCAGTCTTTCAATCCGAGACCCATTGATATGAGCAATGTTACTCTGTCCAGAGACACACAGGTACACTTAACATTTTTTGTCAAAACATGACATAAGTGCACGCTGATACCAATAAACTTCTCAATTTGTTATGAGAATTGAAGAATGACCGGACCTATGCAATACAACAGTCAAATGTTGTGTTTTGCAGTCAATGGCGGAACTGCTTGCAGAGAACTATCACAACATCTGGGCCAGGAAAAAGAAAATTGAGCTCGAAGCCAAAGGTGTGGTTTCGAAAATAGAGTGGCTTTTACGCATGAATATGTTTCAATTTGATGTATTCTGCCAAGCTCATATTTTTTCACAGGTACATTGGAGTGCTTGTTATCTTATTTCTTGTCTCTGTGTGCCAGGTGGAGGAAATCACCCCTTATTGGTTCCCTTTGACACACTGACTGCCAAAGAGAAATTAAAAGACAGACAAAAAGCACAAGATGTCCTGAAGTTCCTCCAGATCAATGGTTACATTGTGTCAAGGTAGGAAATATATTCATACCCACATGTGAAAGTTGGTATTATTAATTTCCAAACCCCCTCTCCGGATTTATTATTCAAAATGTAGTTTCGAAATGCCAATTAGATAAGACACACAAAAAATCCAAACCTACCTTCAGGATTTTCTGGTAGACAGGAGAACTCATTATCCCATCAATCACAGTAAATTGTCTTGGTCCTGAGGTAGTAAAGCAGCCCCAGACCATCACATTGGCACCACCATGCCTCCAAACCCCCTCTCCGGATTTACTGTATTATTCAAAATGCAGTTTCGAAATGCCAATTTAATATCATATGACACCCAAAAAATCCAAACCTACCTTCAGGATTTTCTGGTAGACAGGAGAACTCATTATCCCATCAATCACAGTAAATTGTCTTGGTCCTGAGGTAGTAAAGCAGCCCCAGACCATCACATTGGCACCACCATGCTTCACTGTTAGCATCATGCTCTTTTTAATCGAATGCTGTGTCATTTTTACACCAGATGTAAGGGCCCGCACATCTTCCAAAAAAGAAAGACTCATCAGTCCACCAAATGTTTTTTCAAAAGTCTTGAGGATCATCAAGGTGTCTTTTGGCAAATGTGAGGACGAGCATTTGTGGTCTTTTTGGACAGCAGTGATTTTCACTTGGGAACTCTCCCATCGATGCCATTTTTGGCGAGTGTCTCTCTTATGGTCGAGTCGTAATAGCTCAATAAATAATAAAGAAATGAGTGAAAATAAATTCAAGCTTAACCAAACAAGTGAGTTTTGAAGCCATCATCAGAATATTGATGTAAAATATAAAACCAAAGAACATTAGCCTTGTGTACTCTGCCGACATAGAACTGGCCGCATTTTATGCTTCCGCTAAAATTCATGAGGAAAAAAAAAAGTATCTGTATTGAGACTTTATTGTTTTCAGAGGTATGAAGTCACAGGAGTTGGATTTACCAGCCATCGAGAAACGATTTGCCTACACCTTCCTTCAGCAGCTCATCAAATATGTCGACCAGGCCCATGAGCTCATGATGAAGTTTGGTGAGACCCTTCCATCCTAATTTTATAACAGCTGCTTGACAAAAGCCACATAACGTCTGCTTCATTCAGTTTTCGACGAGTTCACAAAGTGGTTCATTGTAAAAGATGAGCCAATGGGGGGGAAAAAAATGTGAATACAAGACTACATGTACCCATATTAGTCTTTGATTCTCTCTCTAGACATCGGAACAAGACAAAAGGGAGTAAAGAGTCCTCATGAACAGCAAGTGAAGTTCTTTGGAAAGGTCAGAACTCAGAAGCATTTCATTCAACAACCCAGAAAAATGAAAAAAAATGTTGACTCGTGATGGTAGTTGACCCTTGGATCCCAACACACACACATTTCTACCAATTGTAAATTTAATCCACAGGTCGTCTTGCCTTTGGTTGATCAGTACTTCAAGAACCATCGTCTGTACTTCTTATCCACGTCCATTCATCCCATAAGCAGTGGTGGCCATGCCTCCAACAAGGAGAAAGAGATGGTAACAAGGTAATTGTGACTAACAATTCCTGGAATGATAGCAGTGACAGGATTTGCCAAATTCCCATACTGGTGCTTGAAATTTCAACTAGACATTGAATGTTGGAAAAAGCAACTGTTTGTCCAAGGGATTTGTTTCTCATTCTCCTTTGTCTTTTTTCCTCTCGGGTGTCTCAGGACTGTTTTTTAATTTTTTTTTCTTCTTCCCTCCCTGCCTCTTCTTCCTCAATTATTATTTTTTTTTCTAGTCTTTTCTGCAAACTGGGAGTACTTGTCAGAAATAGGATATCCTTATTTGGTAAGAATGGTTTATGGCTATTGCTTGCACTTCTGATCACAAGCTCAAACTCCCATCCAAACCCACCCCTCTTTGTTTAAAAAAAAAAAGCCAGAGCTCGATTTGGATTTGCATGAATCCAGTATGATTTGATTAATGAGTGTGGAAAGCATTTTTAGCGAACAGTAACGGAGTGATATCATACACCAAGGTGTGTGTATGCATGTGTGTGGGCACATATATGTGCGAGGCTTTTAAAGAGACGTGATGTGATGATGACATTTTACGACACATTATTGTATTTTATTGGATTTGTTACGCTTTAAAAAAAAAAAACGTCTTCAGCTCTTATTTTTCAACTTTCCAGAAGGTGTCAGGAGAAGGCATTGTCTGTCTGTCTCTTTAAAAAGTTTTGGATCACATTGAGAAAGACAAGCTGGGCAATTGGGACTGTGTGGCTTGGTCATTATGATGGATCTGTTTCGTTCATGAGTGCGTGCAACGAATGGAGCGGATTCCTCTTCGGTCTGTCATGGTGGATCCTGTCATGGTGAATCGTTTTACCAGTTGTTCTACATTCCCACCCTCACCTACCGTCATGAGCTGCCATCTTGACTCCTTATGCAGATGGATGGATGGTCCGGCCAAGAGGGCTTTTGCATCACCTACTTTTATGATTCTGTGTAAACTTTAAGATGTCTATCCACCTTATTCCTGAGGGCTCTCATGGATAAACGAATTTGTGCGTGACTTCCGGAAAAAGACTTTCGGTAAATTTGTTGCAGCAGGTTTTGTTTCACAGAGCGGTTTATTTGAATTTTTTTTTTCTCACCCCCTTTTGAAAGTAATCATAAGCCCCCATTTCATTGAAAAATATCTTGCATGGTGTGGGAACTTTTTGCGGTGTTGGTGGTTGTACTAACAAGCAGAAGAAGTTGAATCTGTGACTACAGAGCAATGTTTTGAACAACAGGCTGCCCGGACGAGGAGAGAGCCATATGACATGTCGTCGGTAGTGTTAGGTTTGGCTGGCTCCTACATCTGCTAAATAAGAAACCTCCGTAAACAAAACGTGACCAATTTTCTTACTGTGTAAGCACTGATACTCCTCAAAGCTTTTGAGATTGCTTCTTGCCTCACATCGGAAGTGACAGAGTTCGGAAAGTAATCCAACATGTGACTATCCCTTGTCGCCGGCATCTTTTTGACGTCATCCTCCTCCCCCACTACATTAGCAGGAAGCGGGACTGAAATATTTTCACTTCGAAGATGCAACAACAATAATTGTCACGTTGTTTAACTTTGTGACCGTCTTAGAAAGTGGACTCACACAGTTTCCCACAAAAAAAAACAAAAAAACACTGGTTTCGCTCGACAGGAAGTCGCACACCTATTTCGCCTACGCAAAGTCTCATGGGACGTAGAAACAAGGTAGAATGGTTTTTAGGTAATACTTCGAAAAGTAGAAAGAACTGATATCATTGTACATATTTGTACCTTATTAATTTACTATTGTTTAAAACATATATATATATATTTTGCTCTAAAAGTGATGCCTTGCTGTGCAATAGATATATTTTTATGTATTTTATTTAATGTATATGATGGAAGATATTTCTTTTGTTCCCACCATCCCCCACTCCTCAACAGCTTAAATTTCTGATTTGCGTTCTGTGGCTGTCATGTCAAATTATTTGATGTTTTCTTCTTTTTTTTTCCCCCCCCCCTTCCTTTGCTTTCATTTTTTTCTGATTTCTCATTTCCCCTCTTAGGTAATAATGCCACATCCATCGTAAATTGTTTGCAGATACTGGGGCAAAGTCTGGATGCCAGGTAATGGGGGAAAAAAAAAGTTTATTGTAAAATTGTGTTCGTACTTAATACCTCACTTAACAATACTTTTTCAAGGCACTGTACCATAGATATGAACAGGTGTCAAAATAACTGCAAAAGAAGAGAAAAATACTGTATGTAGCCAATACATCAAATGTGTCGGAAGCACTTTCTGCCACTCGCAGTCAAATCTTATCATATTTTGCCCTTGTGTAGGAGTTTATTTGCTTCCTTTGACTTTACGAATACACTGGATTTGGATCAAACATCTTTGTCAATCCAATGATTGATGACAAACACCAACTAACTAATTCAATGCTATCCCGTATCAGGACAGTGATGAAGACAGGCTTGGAATCAGTCAAGACAGCACTGCAGTCCTACTTCGACAGTGCAGCGGAAGCTTTGGAGAAGACGCAAGAGAACTTGAAGCTTGGTCAATTTACTCACAGCAAAGAACAGCCCCGAGGAGTCCCTCAGATCATCAACTACACTACCTTTGGCTTGCTTCCGATCCTGTCCTCCTTGTTTGAACACATTGGAAAGAATAATTTTGGAGAAGATCTGATATGTGCGTACATCCATTTTTTATTCATATAAATGGGACACAGATTTGCTCCTCGAGCTGTAATTTTTTTTCTTTTGTACCTGTACATGCATATGCCAAGTTACACTTGTGAAAGTCAATAAAGGGAGGCATTTTGAAATTTGAAAATTAATTCTACAATTCATTTTTAAACAATGAATGACATTACCCATGAATGTGAATTGATGAATTGAAATCTTGTATTGATTCTGTCTTGATTAGTCGATGAGGTCCAGGTTTCCTGCTACAGAATTCTCAAGAGCCTCTACTTTCTGGGAACCAATGAAAGCATATATGTTGAGAGGTATGTATGTCATAATCCCTTCAACCATAGTATGTTCATTTCTGTTCGCTTGTTGAAACAAGTCAATAGACCAGGAAAATAACTCTTGCCTTTTTGAGTTTGTTAGGGTATTTTATATCAAGCCTACAAGGCTGTCGAGCAGGGGTCTTCGATCCTGTTCCTCGAGGGCTGCTGTCCTGCCTATTTTGCATCTCTCCCTCCTGCAACACACCTAATTCAACTGATCAGATAATCATCAAGAAGTTGGATAATGAGCCTGATCATTTGAATCAGATGTGGCGCAGGAGGGAGAGATGGGAATCGAATAGGACAGCTGCCCTCGAGGAACAGGATTGAAGCCCCTTGCTGTATATGAAATTAAGCACTTGTAGTAACAAAACTTTGTCATTTGTCTCTTTGAGTTTGTTAGGGTATTTTATATCAAGCCTACAAGGCTGTCGAGCAGGGGTCTTCGATCCTGTTCCTCGAGGGCTGCTGTCCTGCCTATTTTGCATCTCTCCCTCCTGCAACATACCTGATTCAACTGATCAGATAATGAGCAAGAAGTTGGATAATGATCCTGATCAGTTGAATCAGGTGTGATGCAGCGGGGAGAGATGGGAATCGGGGTAGGACAGCGGCCCTCAAGGAACAGGATTGAAGCCCCTTGCTGTATATGTAATTAAGCACTCATAGTAAAAAAACTGTGTCATTTGTCTGCTCTTGTTGGACTATTTCTGATAACTCACAGTTGCATACTTTTTAGGAAATTATTGATGCATCATGCACTATTTTCCATTTGAAACTTGTCTTTTCCAGACATCGGCCAGCATTAGGAAAATGTTTGGCTGCTTTTTCAACAGCCTTCCCGGTTGCCTTCCTTGAACCTCACATCAACAATTTCAACAACTTCTCAATCTACAACAGCAAAAGACCTAAAGACAGAACTGGTATAATTTTGCTGAAAACACACACACACACACACACGTATTGGTTGCGTAAAGAATGCAAGCAGTTGTGACAAAGCAGGCATTCAAACTGTCTATTTTTTTAAAGAGTGCTTTTAAGTGTGGCATCAAATGTACTTTTTGCGTTAATATCAATATTTGTGTGTGTATATATTGGAATAATCTGGTTTGCATTGCAGCTCTTGGTCTGCCAAGCCAGGTCGAAGATGTTTGTCCACTGATTCCAAATTTGGACAGATCTCTGGAAGAAATCATTGAGGTGGCAGAGTCTGGCATGAAATATACTCAAATGCCTCATGTCGTGGAGGTATGTCATCAATTCTTTTTCCGACAACCGACCTCAAGTGAGACATCTTCAACTACAACCAGCTTTTTTTTTTTAATGTTTATATTCACGCAGGTGATTTTACCAGTTTTGTGCAGCTACATGTCTCACTGGTGGGAACACGGGCCAGAGAACAACCCAGACCGAGCCGACAGCTGCTGTACATGTGTGACCTCTGAACATATGAACATATTACTTGGAAACATCTTGAAGATCATCTACAACAATTTAGGGGTGGATGAGGGGGCCTGGATGAAAAGACTAGCTGGTAATCCGAATGACACACCGAGGGCCGAGTTCATTCAAACATTGCGTGACTTTTGTGTCTCGCGTGTTCAAATGAGCTGACATGCACGTATTTGGCTGAGAAATTGCCCTCTTTGCAAATGAACTTCGTTGATAAACAACATGTAATTCACCAACACCAGTGCTATATCCACATTCATTTTGAGTGACGCAAATAACGTCGATAGAGAGGTGGTGGAAAATCGGCGCTCCCCTCTGCATGTTTTGGGATATGGGAGGAAACCGGAGTACCCGGAGAAAACCCACACAGGCACGGGGAAAACATGCAAACTCCACACAGGAAGGATAGCGCCCGGATTCAAACCCTGGACCTCTGTCCTGTGAGGCGGACGTAATAACCAGTCACCCACCGCCTTACTCATGCAATTATAAATAAAATTGATTTAAATATGTTAAATGTACATGTAACATTTGGAAACATTTTGTTTTACTGACATAAAATTAATTAACCAAATGTTTAATTCGATAATTAAAAGAGAAACACACATAAAAACATAAAAAATACCATAGTTTATTTCACTAATAAAATTCGGCATTATTCTTTCAATTTGAAAGAAGTAATTAACGACTTGTTAAATACATTTGATGAATGAATGAATTTTTGTTAGTTCAAAAAACCCATCCTCATGAATACGCCGCTAGATTCCGCAAAACTGTTCGATAAATAACCCCTCTCTTTTTTCCTTCAGTGTTTTCTCAACCAATCATCAGCAAGGCCAAATCCCAGTTGCTCAAGACCCACTTTTTGCCTCTGATGAAGAAACTTAGAAAAGTGAGTACTGTTTTGTGGTTTCATATGGAATAGAAAACAACCAAAAAAACTATTTTTGTTCGCAGGTATACCGGTAAAAAAATGATGCATTTTAACGGTCAAAACAAGATTCCCAAAAAGTCACTCACAGGAGCTCCTCATGGTAAAATCGTGCGCACGTCTATCATAACAGGACCACATGATAAAGTCTCAAGAACCTATTTACAAAGTCATCTGTTTTTTATTAAAGCAGTCATTTTAAGTGTGGTTGCACGGATCACAATTTTCTGCCCGATCAACAATCTTTAAAATGCCTTATCCTGATTTTTGTTGATTTATTTTATTTTATCTATTCATTTTTTTTTCATAGCCAACAGCATACTCCTTTGATGCTTGTGTTTTATTTTTATTTTTTTCCCTTTCCCCCCCAAGGAGTTGCCATGAAAAAATTTGGCAAGGACACCCTTTCATCGCTCCTTGCTGTTTTGATTTTAACCCCTTCAAGGACAATGGTTATACTACAGCTTATCATGTTATCAGGTTACCGGGTGCATGAAAGGGTTCAATGTAATGCTCTCAATTGAATTTCTTTACATTGAATGTACGGCGGGGGTGACTGTCGCGTTCAACGTGAACGGTTTTTCGTCTGTGATTTTTTTTTTTCTTTGTCATAACATGTAGAAAGCAGAAGTTGTGCTGATGGATGAGGAACAAAGCAAGGCAGAGGGCAGGGGTGAGATCTCAGAAACTGAGCTTCTCATCATGGATCAATTCTCAGTCCTTGTCAGAGACCTCTACGCCTTTTATCCCCTTCTCATCCGATTTGTTGACTACAACAGGTAAAATGCATTTGGTGTTTCCGACACACGAATGACTCGACTTTAAGTTGTATTTACTGTCCTGTAATATTTACATACTACGAGCATTACTCGTGATTTCAATTACGAAGCACTTAAAATCGAATTTGAATGTAATCACATTTCTTAATATTCTGACAGGGCCACGTGGCTGAAAGAGTCGAATCCAGAGGCAGAAGTGTTGTTCCAGATGGTGGCTGAAGTTTTTATCTTCTGGGCAAAGTCTCATGTAAGGCAGTGAAAACATGGCCTCACATAGGGCATTGCCCCACCCCTCCCTTAAAAGATCAAATCACTTTTCCCTAATACAGAACTTCAAGAGAGAGGAACAGAACTTTGTGGTTCAGAATGAAATCAACAACATGTCCTTCCTCATCTCAGATTCCAAGTGTAAAATGTCAAAGGTATGATATACCACTTTTATAACCCGATTATTTTTTTTTTTAGTAACCAACTAATATACATAGATTCACTGATGTCAGTGAAGGTTTATAATTTCTTGGCATATAGTGGCAAAATAGTCAACTATTTTGTCTGTGTCTGTCATCCCCCTGTGGCCAAACTCCGCTCTAGGTCATAGTCTCATACCAGGAGAGGAAGAAGTTGAGGAGAAAGGGAGACCGATATTCAATGCAGACCAGTCTGATCGTGGCAGCGCTGAAGCGACTACTGCCCGTAGGACTTAATGTTTGTGTTCCTGGTGAACAAGAGCTCATTGCTCTCGCTAAGAGCCGATTCTCACAGGTATTAAAGGGAAAACAACTTCTATCCAGCCATCCATTTTCCGAACTGCTTATCCTCACATTACTCGTAAATCTTTTTTTCTTTTTTCTTTTTTTTTTTAACCTTGTGCTTCTATTATAATTCATTTCCTAAATATGGCTTACAATTCATCCCAATGGGGATTAAAAACGGGTTATCACAAATATTTGCAGCCATGCCTTTGCTGTGTTCAAATTTGAAATTATACAGTGCTTGGATTTGTCATTTGAAAGGCTATGACGTATGTTATTTTTACAGAAAGACACTGAGGATGAAGTGCGCGAAGTCATTCGAAACAATCTCCATCTACAAGGAAAGGTACAAGTCATTCACAGTAAATTAGGTTTGTCAAATCTTTACAGCAGAGGATGTGATGGATGCACTTTGGATGATTTACTGTGGATCTCAAAATGTGGTATTACCGAGTACTAAGAGTGGTACATTCCAGAACACGGATGGCAAAGTCAAGGCCCGGGGGCCAGATCTGGCCCGCCACAACATTTTATGTGGCCCGCGAAAGCAAATCAAGCATGTCAAGTTCCATGATGCTTGCTAAAGTCTGAACCAAAATTTCAAATTGTCATATGTAATCCACAATAACCGTCATCATTCTTGACTTCTGATTGAAAAAATAGTTATTGATCAATTTGTTGTGCGCTGTGTATGTAATATGTGGAGGGGATTAAACATTTATATGGTTTCCCAAAATTCAGAACGGCCCTCCAAGGGAAACCGTAACTACAATGTGGCCCGCGACAAAAATGAGTTTGACACCCCTGTAACTTGAAAAAAAAAATTCCTGCTCAAGTATTCGGTTTTTATTTTTGTTAAACATAATGACCCAACTTCATTGGAATTGGGCTTGTTTTTACGCCTCTCTGTTTTAATATTGGTCATTATGGTAGTACAGGTGGTACATGGTGTCAAAGGTTTGATGTCAACTGATTTCGGTAATGTTGCGTTTGTTTGTGTGCATTTCAAGTTGCAGGACCCTGCTATTCGCTGGCAAAGGGCCCTGTACAGAGACATTCTGAATCACTGCGGTAACGCCTTAGACCCAGAGAAGAATGTGGAAAGAGTGCTGGACATTGCTCATGTCCTCTTCCACTTGGACCAGGTTATAGTTAGAATAAAATTTATTGCTTACAGTCGGAGATAAAACATTTTACACATACGCAGTAATATCACTGTTATGGTTCCAAAATCATCACGTTTACCTGTTATGCTATTGCTAAAAATACAATTTTGAAATTATGAAATCTGAATTACAGATGCAATAATAATGATTCGAAAAGATCCATCGAAAATATTATATTTCTTCTAAAGGGCTTCTATTCAAGTTTTGTGTTCACCCTTTTTTTCCTTAAATATCCATGAACTGTAAAGCCTCTGAGTCTTGTTGTCCTTTCAGGTTGAGCATCCTCAGCGCAGTAAAAAGGCCGTGTGGCACAAGTTACTGTCCAAACAGAGAAAGAGAGCTGTCGTTGCTTGCTTCAGGATGGCTCCTCTCTACAATCTGCCCAGGTAAATTGCACGACTCATAAAAAGTTCGCGATATTTGGCTTTCAGGTGAAATGTATGCAAAATGTAAAAAGTTCACGCTACAGTGATATCATATTATGAAAGTAGGACATTTAAGTAGAAGGACGCACTGGTGATGCTCCAATTGAACCAGGATATTTATCGGTTGATTCAAGGATCAAACGCCTTGTGAATTTTGCAGTTAAGCTCATCGTTAAAGAACAGCAACTTGTGCCAAAAGTACTGAAACATGAAAAAGTGGACATCTGTTTTCAAAATGTTAGAAAAGGTCACATTAAAGTCCCTTGGAAAGGTTTGAATGCATTTTAGGCTTGTCCTTAAATTTTACAGGAAAGCCAAATATCGCTAACTTTTTGCACTCTAGCGCACGCTGTACTTTTTTTTTTTTTTTTAAATCAGTTACATTACTATACTACATGCAAATGATTGAGTCTATGAATGATCTCCTCCAATCTAGACATCGGGCTGTCAACTTGTTCCTCCAGGGCTATGAGAAATCCTGGATTGAGGCGGAAGAACACTTCTTTGAAGATAAACTCATAGAGGACCTTGCTGTAAGTTCACACGGCGCACAGTTGCAGTTTGAGGCACAAGAGCGTTCAGATTGAGCAAATTCTCTTGATCTTATGCATATCATGTTGTTGAAGCCTGGTCAGGCTTATAATGAGCTGGATGAATGAGAATGTTCAAAGGCATCTTCCCTGAAAGCGTTCCCTTGCGTCTTGAATATAACCACTTCACGCGTTTCACCTATCGCGGGTTGTTTTTGAAACGTAACCCCTGCGATGAATGAGGGTTCACCGTATAGAAAGACTTTTAGTCATGTAAAGGTACCATTGCGCAGTCGTATCACCCAATGACAGCTTTGTCGGAGTACGCCGTCATTTGACAGAAATGAAATGAGTTTATTGACAGCAAGACATAAAATGATGTGCTATAATTCTTGATCCTTGATGAAAGTACCGTATTGGCCCGAATATAAGACGGTGTTTTTTTGCATTGAAATAAGACTGAAAAAGTGGGGGTCGTCTTATATTCGGGGTCTAGACATTACACCCATTTGCAACGCTAGATGGTGCCAGATATCATTGAAGCGAATGATGAACTTGACTCCCCAGGCCAAAGTGAACCCCCGCCACAGACACTAAAAATAAAAATAGCGGTAACACGAAGAAGAAAAATAAAAAATAGCGGTAAGGAAAAGAGAAGAAAATAATAGAAGAGATAATCTAGTGACAATCTGGAGAAAAGTGGGTCGATGATCGGCCAGGTTAACCGGCACCTGAGGAGAAGTTTTGATGTAATTTACATTTCAAAAACCAGAAGCCATTCATTTACGAATGTGATTGCATTTTAGATGCGAATGAGGCAAACGAACATGCTTTTTCTCTCAAATATATTGTTATAATCATCGTTTCAGATGTACTGTAATTATTTTCTGTATAAAAATTAATTTGGTGTTCAAAAAGTCTTTTTTCAAACTTGAGTCTTGAAAAAGAGGGGGTCGTCTTATAATCAGGGCCGTCTCATATTCGGGCCAATACGGTATGTCACAGATACGGGGAGCTGGGAATTAATTGTCTTATTGTTCTATTTTTCAGTTGAATAAGCGAGTATTGCAAATGTCGATGTATTGCTAGGAAGTCGAAGAATTAACAGGTGCTGAAAATACGCTTCAGAAATCAAGTGACCAAGAGCCATTTGAAGAGGTCGAGGGAATGAAACGCATCGATCCACTCCATCAGCTCATCCAGCTTTTCAGTAGAACGGCTCTGACAGACAAGTGGTGGGTTACACTCACGTTGCATGTCGCGGAATGTCTTTTTTTTTTTTTTTGTTTTTTTTTAGCATTTCAGAATCAAATAATGGACATGTTGACTGTTGTAGTAAACTGGATGAAGATCAGCTCTACATGGCTTATGCTGATATCATGGCCAAGGTTCCCTGCCAAATATTATTTTTAAGAATTTGGTTAATGATATCAACACCCCAAAGTTTATTCACTCGTTTGTTTCATTGCCCTTTCTTAGAGCTGCCATGATGAAGAAGATGAAGACGGGGAGGAAGTGAAAAGTTTCGAAGTAGGTTTTCTTTATTGTTTGACTCATCCGTCATTTCCAGTCCAACATGTCCTATTCCTCCATTTTCTTGAATAGGAGAAGGAGATGGAAAAGCAGAAGCTGTTATACCAGCAGGAAAGGCTTCATGATCGCGGAGCTGCTGAGATGGTACTTCAGACCATTAGCGCCAGCAAAGGTACGTTTTTTTCCTTTGTATTCGTCTTAATACATCAATAATGTAAAAATGAAAAACAATCATCAGTCTACTTAATTAAAAGTTATGGTACTTTGATGAAATGAATGAATGAAACAGTACAAATTTGTATATGACCTTGAGTGTTTGATTCTTTTGAACCAGGTGAGATGGGTCCCATGGTCGCCTCAACTCTCAAACTCGGCATTGCAATTCTCAATGGAGGAAACTCGACAGTACAACTGGTACCGTTTGTTATCGTCCCTCCTGTCCATATGCTGCATTTTAAATGTGACGGCTTACAAATCAATTGCCTGATCTTTGGACAGAAAATGCTGGATTATCTGAAGAATCGAAAGGACGTGGGATTCTTTCAGAGCCTTGCTGGCCTCATGCAGTTGTGCAGGTAACAGTAGAATGATTTAGAAAGTTGACAGTTAAACATTTAATTGAAAGTATAATTTTAATATTACCGTATTTTCCACATGAAAAGGCGCACTGGATTATGAGGCGCACCTTCAATAAATGGCGTATTTTGTAATTTTTTTTCATATATTGGACAAACCGCATTATAAGACGCAATCTACAATGCATCCACTAGATGGCGCTACGCTCAAGGAAATTCCAACAGAATGATCAGATGTCAGTAAAACGTATTAAATAAAGCAGCGACACAGTTCACTTAACCAATAGCAAGTTAGAACATTGACTCGTTAACGTTGAACTCTCTTGCCGCTGCTCTATTTCAATGTTCAACTGCGTAACCCGATCGCCGTAAGTTTGAACTCTGCGTTGTTAGCATGTCTCGAGCAAGGAGCCATTTTGGGGTCGACATATTACCGTAATAACCATTCGCAAGGCGCATCGTATTTTAAGGCGCGCTGTGAGCTTTCAAGAAAATGGAAGGCTTTTAGGTGCGCCTTTTAGTGCGGAAAATACGGTAAATTAAGCCGACATTACGAATGACCACTTGAGTGTTCCTTTAACTTCGTTTGTTTGCATGTTGAGTTAAAGCTTTGACAATATGACACTCTTTTTCTCAGTGTTCTAGATCTAAATGCATTTGAGAGACAGAACAAAGCAGAAGGACTGGGAATGATCACTGAGGAAGGATCAGGTAAAACGTAGAAAAAATATGTTCCACGGGTGTCGCATTAGCACCTTTTGCTAGAATTATGACAGTCACTCTTTTTACCAAGATCTTTGAGCGTGGCACATCTTGACTCTGTATTCTTTACCAACTTAGAGCAGAAATGCTCCAACTAAATCAAATTACCACTTGCATCGGTCACTTGAGTCACCACACAGCTTTGTTCATGATTTTAAAGGAGACATACACATTTTTCACAATTCAAAACAGGTCTCAGGTGTCTTAATAACCTGGCTCTAAAATGATTTTTGTCACAATACTCCAAGGATTTAGAAATGCAGCACATCTCAGTGTTTCAGTACCCCAGAACTTAGCCTGTTTTGCGGGGGTGGTCCGTTCTAAAAGCGAGAAAGGGCTGACTTCGCCGCAGTACTGCATAACCAATTACCTCAATAACCAGGGGCAGAGCTAGATGGTTGGACAAGGCAATCGGCCTCCTTCTTGTGGAAGCGGAGCAGCTTTAAAAGGCTCCGAGGAGTGAGTTTTTCATAACGTACGATCACACAGTGCAAGCTGACATCCTTTGCACTGAATTAGCTACGAACGTAGCATCTGAGCATTTTACTCGAGGCATGACGAATCGATTTACACTCCGCTCCGCCGTACATGCTACCGTTAAACTAACTCACATCATGATCGAAAAGTAGATCTTCAGCCAAAAATGCGTCCCATCTTTAGAGGGCCACCAATAACCACTTTCAGATTTAATATGAACAACACAACAGATAGCGAAAATGTTTCTTACCATAAAGTATTTTGTGTCATTTACTTAATTTGCGTCTGCAACATAAATTGAAATTGCCCTCTGCCTGGTCCTATTTGTTGTCATTTGTATTGATGTTATGTTCTTGTTTTATGTGATTGTACTCGATAATTCTCATTTGTTGTGTTGCGCCATTCTTTCTCCGAAGATCCTTTCTTTGCATTTTGTGGTTCAAAGCAGCTTTTTATCAGTCATCTATTATACCTTTGCAAATGTATTTTTGACTACTGACTGATTGACACATTTTCCCCTCACACTACTACTGACTATAACACGTTGCAATTTAAAGACCTGTCCATCTAGACATTTTCTGGCTCTTCACCGCTTATCCAGAAATGTCACATTAAATACAATACAATACATGCTGATTTATATGGGTTCTAGAAGAATTTTCTATTTCGATTATTGTATTCGATTCACATTTCAATGACTCGATTCTAATATTACATTTTTTAAACACATTTTTCTTGTCTGTACTGCTTCATGGTTTGTTGTCTGCTGCGATATTCTATATTCCATGACTTAATATTATTATTATTATTTTTTCTTGTGAATGCCTTTTTTTCTAAATGGAAGTGTTTAAATGTGTACATTATTTTACCTACTTTGTATTTGCATACGCCCATGTCCTTGGGATTACCAGCTTATTTTTGTCTGCATGTGTCTTTTTGTATTGTAAATTTGTGTGTGTGTGTGTGTGTGTGTGTGTGTGTGTGTGTGTGTGTGTGTGTGTGTGTGTGTGTGTGTGCGTCTGTTTTGTGCCTGTGTGGTCTCTGCGTGTGTTTCTTCTATTTGGGACAGGTGAGAAGGTAATGCAGGATGATAAGTTTACCTGTGACCTCTTCCGCTTCCTTCAGCTTCTCTGTGAAGGACACAACTCAGGTATTTTTCTCGATTCGCCTTTTACGACCTTCTTATTCAAGTTTATGTTTTTACATATCTTTGTTCATTGCAGATTTCCAGAACTACTTAAGGACTCAAACAGGTAACAATACAACCGTCAACATCATCATCTCGACTGTTGACTACCTCCTAAGAGTACAGGTTGGTACCCATGTTTTTCATTTTAAAAGTCAATGTTTTTTCTCAGAATGTATTCATTTCGAGTAGGTTGTCAAACTCATAATTTCGGACTGTATATTTATGTTAGTTATGGTTGCCCTCAGGGCTAGGCTGAATTGATGAAAGATAAATAAGATAAATAACCAGCATAAAAGCACGGAAATGTACAATAACCAGCGGGTGTATTTGACACCAAAAATCACAGGTTGGTATATACCTTTGTTTTAAATGAATGATTTAGTTCCCATTCAGTACAGGAAGAAAATGTATTTGGGGAAAAAAATACTGCTTAAGTGGGCTTCAGATACGCCAAAATTGCTTGGCTGTGCGCGACTACAGTTAGCGATAGGAGATATGTTCACACTGCAGCTCAGTTCCGATTTTTATGTGCGACAGATCACATTTTTTCATTAAGAGTGAACGTTACAATTCCGATTTTTTTCTTTCACAAATCTGACCTGGACCTCCCTTTTTTTTTTTTTTTTTTTTTTTTAAATGTAGATATAAATGGGATACGTATGGCAATGTAGCAAACATCCGAACTAACCCTGATCAAAAGCCCAGTATGTACACTCCATACGGCTCGGAGATGATGCTCGAGAGACTACTGACACATCTGTAAATTTCCAAAATAGTTTTGAGGAACAGTTGTTGTCTTTACATTTGGCTTGAATTGAAATTGGTTATTGTAGTCATTCAGATTTGATATCTGAGTAAATTGAGTTTTGAGCTTTGTCACAGAATGTCATTCCATCCCAAAGCTTGAGGAACTGCTCTAATAAATTGATACTTTGTTACGCTCGCACTTTTCCAACTACCTACCTGTTAGTCTCATCTAGTCAACTTGCGGTACACGATTGTGCTACTCTTACTTTGTTTGCATTATTCATGATTTTTTTTTCTTTGACACCACAAACTTATATGGAAGCCTAATTATATTTGACCTGACTTTTTTTTACATTTTAACCTGCTCCGCTTCTCTTGTCCCTTTGTTCGTAGGAGTCTATTAGTGATTTCTACTGGTATTACTCTGGGAAGGATGTAATTGATGAGCAGGGACAGAGGAACTTCTCAAAGGCAATTAATGTTGCCAAGCAGGTGTTCAACACACTCACAGAGTATATCCAGGTACAATAATCCAGACAGGCTCATAGAAAGTTTGAACTCATTCACTCCCAAAGACGTTTTTAAACGTCTTTTCAGACTTGGTCCAGAAATGGCTGGTACTGAATGAGTTTTAATGATTTCTTGAAATGGATACCATGTTGTAAACATCACTTCATGGGCAGATTTAAATTCATTCAGATGAATATTAGAAGCAACAACTTTAAAAAAAAAAATTTTATTTTATTTTTTTTGCTTGTGACAGGGTCCATGTACTGGCAATCAGCAGAGTTTGGCACATAGTCGTCTGTGGGATGCTGTGGTTGGGTTTCTCCATGTCTTTGCTCATATGCAGATGAAATTGTCTCAGGTATGTTCGACTGCAATTAAAAATTGAGGCTGAATGAAGTAGAATCGATCATTTACTTTAAATGACTTTTTATGATTATTATTATTAATTTTTTTAATTATAGTGATATACCGTAAAATACACTCATCTTTCATCGTCTTTTCATTCATTAAGTATGCTTTATTTTCCATAATTACTGCAACAGTGGAACCTAGGTTCAGAAACGTAATTTGCGCCGCAACTGTGCTGGCAACCCTTAATGTTCACAAATGCAATTTTTGCCGTAAATGTCCGATGGAAAACTCTGTCGGTCCTTTTAGCTTTAATACTCACAACACGAAAATTCCCTAGACTGTGTATTCTAAGTTGAACTTTTTAATGGATGCCAAAAAGCTCGTGTGCACGGCCTTGGAGACTTCTCTGCAGAAGGTGTGCGAGTCCTGTTCTTCAACTACCGTATTTTGCCACGCCTACACTGGAAGGTGACTTTGATTAGCCCATGTAATTTAAATTCCCTGATAAGATCCTTTTTTCTTTTCTGTGCGGGTTTTTCCTGGATACTTTTTATCTCGGTGGCACTATCTTATTTAATTTTTTTTTTTAAATACAGTCGGCTATGGCCTTTTTTTTTTTTTTTTAACATTTTTGGTTCACTCCTCACGACAATTTGAGTTTGGCCTGCTGATTAGCATAAAACAGCAATCGGCAACAAGGCTAGAAGCAAGACTTTTAGCATACTGAAGCGCAGCTCATGAACCATGGCAAGTTTTGTTTGAAAATTTGCCTTGTCAGCTGATTTATTCAGAAACAGGGAAGTTTTCGAACCGAGATTGCACTGTACCTTTCTTTGTTGGTTAGTTTGTTGGTGTGCTCGAAGAAATCACTGGATCCTATTTGCAATGTGTTTTCCCTTCAGGACTCGAGTCAGATTGAGTTACTGAAAGAACTGATGGATCTTCAGAAAGACATGGTGGTCATGTTGCTTTCAATGATGGAGGGTATGACGATCATCTTATACTCATGGGCTATCTAGTACTAATAGAAAAAAAAAAAAAACGACATACCCAGCTATTGGGTTATCGATTTTATCTCTTATGCTCCAGTATTGACATACAAATGTCAGTTTGATGGGAAAAAATGCAGATTCGCATGACATAAAACACTATTGAATTTGGATGCAACGTTAATGATGAGATAGAAGACAGAGCAGGCTCAGCACTGCCACATATCATCACTAACCCATCACTCATTTCTACAGAAATATCTGTTTTGTTTTTTTTTTTGAACATATACGGTAAATGTCAGCGCTGTTTTATATCGGCAGGCAACGTGGTTAATGGGACCATTGGAAAGCAGATGGTTGACATGCTGGTGGAATCGTCAAACAATGTCGAAATGATTTTGAAGTTCTTTGATATGTTCCTCAAGCTGAAAGATGTCACCTCCTCAGATGCCTTTAAAGAGTACGACCCTGATGGAAAAGGCAAGTGTCTGTTTTCAGAAACTTTGAATGTGTCGCATCTGATAATTCTAATAGTACTGATGAACAAATGAAATGAAAGGTTTAATATCCAAGAGGGACTTCCAGAAGGCAATGGAGAACCATAAGCACTACACACAGTCTGAGACTGAGTTCCTTCTCTCCTGTGCCGAAACGGATGAAAATGAACTCCTGCACTATGAGGAATTTGTGGAGCGCTTTCATGAACCAGCTAAGGTAATAAAAAAAAAATTTGCATTACTGCACTCTCTATGTGTAATTTACGCTCGGACCCATTCCCATGTAATTTTCTAACGTACTGGAAAAATTAGCTTTACTGCACTCTCTGTGTGTAATTTACACTCGGACCCATTCCCATGTAATTTTCTAACGTACTGCAGGTGATTCACATATCAACGGTTACTCGATGGATTCTGCAGCATTGATTTTGAGACATACTGGTCTATCGTAGTCCATTGCAGAGTGCATATAATGTACTCAACAGCTATTCACACATTTGCAACAATGGATTTTCCAGTAATACACGAGTCTTGCTTCATCATTTGTTTTGGACGCAGCTTTTTATAAATGAATATCATTGTCATGGTCTGTGCGGTGAGAAATGTTTGAAACCAAAATCCACTGAGAAGGACACTACTGTGATTTAAAGGACATTGGCTTCAATGTGGCTGTGTTGTTGACCAACTTGTCAGAGCATATGCCTCATGACAACCGACTGCACACCTTCCTGGAGTTGGCCGAGAGTGTTCTCAACTACTTCCAACCCTACCTGGGTAGGATTGAAATCATGGGCAGTGCAAAGCGTATTGAGAGGGTCTACTTTGAGATCAGTGAGTCCAGTCGAACACAGTGGGAGAAACCTCAGGTAAGATCTATGCAACTTCCAGTGGATTGACCAACTTTCAGGGTTTGCTTTGTCAAGTCTCAACATTTTTTTTTTCTTATGTAACCCAACCTTAGGTTAAAGAATCCAAGCGCCAGTTCATTTTTGATGTGGTCAATGAAGGAGGCGAGAAGGAAAAGATGGAATTGTTTGTGAATTTCTGTGAGGACACCATCTTTGAAATGCAACTGGCCGCTCAGATGTCAGACACTGGCGAGCGTTCAGCTGCGAAAGAGGACAGTGACCAAGAGAGGCCAGATGTGGAAAATCCCGAGACAAGCTTCTTTTCAGTGACCATGGTCCGCATGGCACTAAAAGCGCTGCAGTTCAATGTGATCCTATTGATTAAGGTCAGACTCCTGAATTGTAGTTAGTTATAACATGTATATAATGTGCAAAGATGCAGGTGTTCGGCTATTCAAGTAATGCATGTTGTGGAGGTATTGTACATTTTAAACATTAAAGTGAGTAGGATTACAAAAGAATACAACAATAATGAATAATCAAAGACTATTAAGTGGATAATTGCAATTCCAAGTTAGTACTTAGAACTGGTTTGGGAAAATGATCTTGCTCCACAATCTGCCTTCAAACAACCAAATTGAATGCCAACTCATTTCTCAGTACCAGTCATATTGAAGCTCTTACCAATAAATAAACAATGCTTTATTCATATAGCACTTTTTGTACACGCTAATTGTAACTGTAATTGTGGTTTCCATCCTAAAGTCAAAGGAAATAAATCAAGAAATATTATTTTATCTATGTTGCATGTCACCACAAGTGACTGAATATCTAAGTACCGTATTTTCCGGATTATAAGTCGCTCCTTAGAATAAGTCGCAACAGCCATAAAATGCATAATAAAGAAGAAAAAAACATACATAAGTCGCACTGGAGTATAAGTCGCATTTTGGGGGGAAATTTGTGATAAAATCCAATCCCAAGAGCAGACATGTCATCTTGAAAGGCAAATAAAAATAAAAATAGAGAACAACAGGCTGAATAAGTATGTTACAAGCTAACGTTACATGACGCAAAAACAACGAACATGCCTGGTATGCTCACGTAACATATTAGGACTTATTCAGATAACTATTGCATAAAAAACATGCTAACAGGTTGACCAAACCATCAGTGTCTCTCCAAATCACTAAATCTAATAAAATCTTCATCCTCGGTGTGTGTTTGAAACAAGTCTGCCAACTTTGGAGGTAGAAGATGTGGCGCTTCCTATTCTACATCGCTTACGTCACTCATTGTCAACTTATCAACACAGGTCTAGAGCGCCCTCTTGCGGTTTTGTGTTAATAATTTCACACATAAGTCGCACCAGAGTCCAAGACGTACCCCCGGCCAAACTATGAAAAAAACTGCGATTTACAATCCGAAAAATACGGTAGTATGCTGAATACACCAGCATAGAAAAACCAAGCTTACAGTTTTCATCTCCATTCTCAGGTGCTGTCCATGAAGAGTTTGAAGAAGCGGATGAAGAAGATCAAGAGCATGACATCAAAAGACATGGTCACCACCCTGGTTTCATTCTACTGGTCTGCGTTGCAGGGCCTCCTTCATATAGCCTTCAGTGTGGTGCGAGGATTTTGCAGAATTTTTTACAATAATATATTTGGAAGCAATCTGGTTGATGGCGCCAAGAGCATCAAGGTATGGAGTTGACATAGCTCATCCATCCATTCTCAACAGTTTTGCCAACTCTAATGCCACACTCCTCAGGTGTCTGAACTACTGGCTAACATGCCTGACCCGACCCAGGATGGTGTCAGACTGGAGGGGGAGGACAAAGAGAGAAAATCATCTGACAGAAGCTCAGTGAAGGAGGACCTGGCGTACTTGGCTGTTAATACAAGTGACACTGAGTTGCTGTCAGACATTTTTGGCCTGGATTTACGGAGGGAGGGAGGACAATATAAAATCAGTCCCCACAACCCCAATGCCAGTCTCACAGAAATTCTCAACTCCCCACTTCCTTCTCCACCCTCTTGCGCTGCCTTAGCAGCACCTCCTCCTGAGCCCAGACAAAGGCATCAGGTGAGGATGAAAAAGAGATCAGTCTTATTAACTCGGGTCTAGACGAAGTAATGCTTTGAAATATGAAAAAAAAACACAAAAAAAATGTTGCCACCTGTTAATAAATAGGCAGTGTGCCTAATTATTATGCATGGAGGAATGAAGTTAAATACCGTATGGCCCGAATATAAGACGGCCCTGATTATATATATTATATATAAGATGACCCCCTCTTTTTCAAGACTCAAGTTTGAAAACACAACCCCAATGCCAGTCTCACAGAAATTCTCAACTCCCCACTTCCTTCTCCACCCTCTTGCGCTGCCTTAGCAGCACCTCCTCCTGAGCCCAGACAAAGGCATCAGGTGAGGATGAAAAAGAGAGCAGTTTTATTAACTCAGGTCCAGACGAAGTAATGCTGTGAATTGTGAAAGAAATAAATAAATGTTGCCACCTGTTAATAAATAGGCAGTGTGCTTAATTATTATGCATGTAGGAATGAAGTTAAATACCGTATTGGCCCGAATATAAGACGGCCCTGATTATAAGACGACACCCTCTTTTTCAAGACTCAAGTTTGAAAAAAGAGTTTTTATGAATGAATGAATGAAACAAATGATTACAACAATACATTTGAGAGAAAAAGCATGTTATTTTGCCTCATTCAAATCTTAATATCTGAACATTTAAATATGTAACCTAAAGTGCAATCCCATTCATAAATGAATGGCTTCTGGTTTTTGAAATGTAAATTACATCATAACTTCTCCTCAGCTGCCGGTTAACATGGCTGACCTTTGACCCACTTTTCTCCAGTTTGTCGCTACGTTTCTCCATTTTCTGTTTTCTCTTCTATTGTTTCTTTCTCTTTTCTTTCTTACCACTATTTTTAATTTTTCTTCTTCGTGCTACCGCTATTTTTATTCTTCGTGACAGGGGTTCAGCATTCGCTTCAATGCTATCTGGCGCCATCTAGCGTCGTGAATGGGTATAATGTCTAGACCCCGAATATAAGACGACCCCCACTTTTTCAATCTTATTTCAATGCAAAAACAGGGTCTTATATTCGGACCAATACGGTAAATCGACTTGCCATACGGACCTTGACTGCCAAATGGCATCACAGATACTCCGCAGCTTCTCAGTCAAGGTTTTTCACAAACATAGACACAGTTAAAGTTGAACAAGGGATTTATTTGGAAAAATGCAAGACCGACAAAGTACAATAAAGGTCGCTGACAGCAAAGAACGAAATAACATAAATCGCTTGCAACCGGCAAGGTAAGAAATAAACGGAAAATTTCTTGTGATGAAATAGCAAGGAATCCAATTTACCCAAACGAAAAGAGCATGACAATGCAACGTAAATCATACTTACATGCAAGATCAAAAAGAATACAAAGAAGGACAAACCATGAATGTGAACAAGAGCGTCTAGATTATACAAACATTTGGAATTTGTGGCGTGAGCAATGCGAAGAATCCGACAGGTGACTGCCGGCACGAATGTCCTATTAAAGTGCATCAGAGATGGAAAGCAGGCAGGACAGCGTCCCTTGAGGACCAAGTTATGACACTCCTGGCATAAATGATGATGCGTGACAGGTTCGGTGTTGGTGGAAACGGGCTCCACTTCCTCCGGTCCTAAAACTAAAACAAACAGAACGATACTAATATGAATTTAGAATGTTGCACTTAGTTTCCCAAGTAAGCCTCTTTAAAGGAAATACCTGTGGGTAATTCCACACAGTTAAGTCACAGTTTTTATGAATAGTGGGGGGGAGGCTCTTTCTGCTGATAATATAGATTATAGTCAAATTCGTGATCGTTTTTGTTTTTTTTTTAACCCCGTTTCAGTCAAAGATCTCTTCCTTGGAGAAGAAGGAAGCAATACCAGAGAATGCATGTGAAGCAAAGAGAAAGTAAGTAATAGCACCACATAAGTCTAGATTGGATGATTTGTGTGTGTGTGTGTTGGTCCCCACCACATAAGTCTAGATTGGATGATTTATGTGCGTGTGTGTGTGTGCGCGCGCGCGCGCGACAACGCCACGAAAATGTTTTGAAACGATTTGGTAAGTTTCAGGAGTGAACATGAAGATAAACATGAGAAAATGAAGTCAAAAATGAAAAGGCGCAAGATCTCGAAGGACGAACCTGATTTACAGGAGTCAGCACTCTCAAAGAAGCTCATTGCCTATCAGCGGAAAGTCCTGGTACATAGAACTTTCCTTTTTTTTTTCTTCTCTCTTTGTCAGCAGGTTTAAAATCATGTATCTTTTGTTCCTCCCCACAGAACTATTTTGCAAGGAACTTTTACAACATGAGGATGCTGGCTCTCTTAGTTGCATTTGCCATCAACTTCATTCTCCTATTCTACAAGGTAAATGTCAATGTTGCACATGCAAACATAAAACCAATCTTTTTTTTTTTTTTGAGAAATCAAATTCAACAAGCTTGAAATGACTGGCGTCATCTTACTGACAGTCGCGCCGCAATAGCAATATGAAATTCTATTCAAAATTCCAATTTTCAGTTGAAAACGTGGTAGTAAAAGAAAATTTCAAGCAACGTAAAAGCAAAGCTTTTTATGTTGCCAAATACTGTTACTGTGGCGATGTGCTACTCAACTCAATAAAAAATGTATTAGTTTATTCTGCAGTTATTTAAAAAACGGCTTTGTTTCACCCCCTATGATTTTTATGAAACAGCGCCGATTGAACTTTGCACCAACATATACCAAACGCCTGAGGCATCTGTAACAGCCCTAAAATAAAGTCTCTGGATCCCTCCTCTAATCTCAACAGGGAGTCGGCCATTTTTAATTTCCTTTTTGGTTTTTTATAGAGGTCATATTTTCTTGAAGTAAATTTGAATCTGATATACTTCATTTTCAAAATATTCAAATTACGGTTTTGCTCGCATGGCCTCGCATGGCCAGAACTGCAAAGGCCCTTTATCGCTACCTCGAATTTAGTTTTTGCTTTGAACTGCGACCTTCCCCTTTCAACAAAACGTATTCATATGCATATCGCATTCAATATGATTCAGAACTGAATTGTTCTATTCATTGTCATCAATGAATTGTTATATTTAGGTTTCCACATCCTCATCAGTGGCTGAGGAAGCGATCCCAAAGAGCCAAACAGACCGCACCATTCAGTGGGATCCACTGGATGGTGAGCCGGTGGTCGATATGAAAGACGGGGCCACGGATGATCTCGGAGAGCCCTTGAAGTTGGCTATGGTTCATTTCGTCTTGGAGGAGGGCAGCGGTTACATGGAGCCAACACTGCGGATCTTGGCTATCCTTCATACAGTCATCTCTTTCTTCTGCATCATTGGCTATTATTGTCTCAAGGTATGCAATATGTTTCTTTTTTTTTTTTGCACCCAGCCACAGCGTTTACAGAGCTTAAAGGCCTGTGTCACCATGAAGGAACCCCAGCAATATCCATATCTGGTCCGCTTACCCTCACAAGGGTCGCGGGGTGTGCTGGAGCCTATCCGAGCTGTCTTCGTGTAGTAGGCAGGGGACACCCTGAACTAGTTGCCAGCCAATCGCAAGGCACACGTAGACGAACAACCATCCGCGCTCACACTCACACCATTTAGAGTCTTCCATTAACCTGCAAAGCATGTTTTTGGAATGTGTGGGTAAACCGGAGCACCCGGGGAAAACCCACGCAGGGACGGGGAGAACATGCCAACGCCACACAGGAAGGCCGGAGCTGGAATCGAACCCTGCACCTCTGCACTGTGCGTCAGATATGCTAACCAGTCGTCCACCGTGCCGGCCCCACAAAATTTTACTTTTAAAAAAAATCTGAGGGAGGACCCCCTTAATAATGACAAACATCGTTTGGTCTGGTTTAACAAGGATCAACTTCAACAGAGTTCCGACCCATCCCACCACCGTGGAGTGCCCTCCTTTGATCCTTCATTTATTAACTGTAGTCGCATATTAGTGTAACGTTCACATTTCAGTGCCCCGCCCCCCCAAAAAAAAGAAGGCCTTGGAGACAAAACCAACTCCCCTGGTCCTTTTGGAAGATGAAAAGAGGAGTGTTCTCGTGCCTTCGGAATTGTCAAATCTGCAGAACCGTCGATCGTCGTCTGTCTCATTGTAATCGAAATAAATAAATGATGAAAATGAATTATTTGTTCACTGAATTCCGCATCTACTTTGACAGCACTGTCTCTTCGGTGTGCATGTGTGTGACTGGACAAAAATTGTGCATACGGGGAAAATGTCTTCTGTAGGTTCCATTGGTGATCTTTAAGCGTGAAAAGGAGGTAGCCAGGAAGTTGGAGTTTGATGGCCTTTACATAACAGAGCAGCCATCTGAGGATGACATCAAAGGACAGTGGGACAGACTGGTAATCAACACACAGTAAGTCGCCTTTATTGGGCACTTTATTGTGTGACTTTTGAAATTCTTCAAACTGTGCTCCCAATCAATTGTAGTCCTGTTTAGGATCTAATTAAAACAAGGGAAAGCAACGATGCAGCCTAAAGATCTGCTTCAAACAATGGCGCTTTTTTGAATTTTTGTCATTGCAGGTTTGCATCAATTTAAGGAACATTTGATGTGTCTAGTTATTTTTGCTTTACTATTTTTAGGTCTTTCCCAAACAATTACTGGGATAAGTTTGTGAAACGAAAGGTAGGTGTCTTGGACAGTTTAATATGGAAAATTCCACTTTCGATATTTATTTGAAATGTATCAACATCATTAATTGTATTGTGATTTTTACACAGGTGATGGATAAATACGGAGAATTTTATGGTCATGATCGGATCAGCGAACTTTTGGGTTTGGACAAGGCCGCTCTGGACTTCAGTGACGCTCATAAAAAAAGGAAGCCCCGAAAAGACAGCTACCTGGCTGCTGTGTGAGTACATGGTGTTGATGAACCCGATGAAAGATGACACAAATCTTATTGGGGTGACAAAAGGCTTTGATCTCCAGAACACATTCATTGTTATTTGAATTTGTCCACAGGCTTAACTCCATTGATGCCAAATACCAGATCTGGAAGCTGGGAGTGGTGTTCACTGACAATGTAAGTGTCCATATAGTATGACATGGCAAACATGTCTGGAGCCTAAATCTCTGGAGTTCTGATGTCAGATTCACAACCATAATGTTTAATTCGCTTTTTGAATTTGATTTTAAATGATGTTCCAATATATGCATGCATTAAAAATTTCAAAGTGCGGTGTAGTTGTGTCCAATGTTTGTATGAGCAAAAGGCATATATTTTGTATGGAAAAAAAAATCTCAACGCACACCACGCAACAAAATGTCCCAAAAAGTACACCAAATCCACCAAAATATCAATGAACTTGTCTGAATTTACTCACAAATTTACTTAGTGTGGATTTAGTTGAACACAAAGCTTTATTGTTGTGTCCTACGAATGGCAACAGGCGGCTGCAAAGGTTAACAGGTTAACCTCTGCTATTTCGTAGAGAAACATTTCGCTGTTCACCCTCTCACTACATTTCACTGGCAAACTACCAGAGACAAATTCCTTGTGTGTTTTTCCACATTTGAAGAATAAAGATGACTCTGATTCTAAATAACTACACGTGTTAACACCAGAGGGTAACGCCACAAAAGTAAACTGGGCGTCACTTCACTATTAAACCCTTTCATGCACCTGAGAACATGATAAGCTGTCCACTGTAGTCACCGCTGTCCCTGAAAGGGTTAAATCAGCTGGCATCCCGCCCTGCAAATAGAAACGTGTGTCGCAGGCTATGACGCAAATCTTCGTTGATAGAAATGTTGAAATTTAAATTTCATTCTACACAATTTTACAGCATTAGAAAACGTTAAGAATGTTTGTGTCATGTTTTTCCTCCAACGTAAACCATATTAAAAAAAAAAATATGTTTCCCTCCCCCATCTTTTTCTATTTTCAAACATTTTTTTTTAAAAAGCTTCGGGGAGCCACTAGGGTGGCGCTAAAGAGACGCACACGGCTCTGGAGCCGCGGGTTGCCGACCCCCGGTCTATGTTTTAGTTGTAGCCTGTGCTTTTGCTGTCTTTCGATTTCGTCAAGCTCACATTGACAGGATTTTTCCAATCTCTTTGTCTCTGCTGCAGTTTAATCGCTATGTAAATATCCAATGCCTATCAGGGTTGTATTCATATTAAGAAGACTGGTCCAGATTTGATTCAGCTAAATTTTTCCCACATAATTGAATTGTGCCATTTGAGAGCAAAAACTAAAATTGAATTATCACTTCAACCATGCAGCATTGATCTAGCATTAATAGCTAACCTGTACCAATGTAACCAAGCTTCTTAATTAAACGAAAACACGCTGAACTCGATTTTAAAATACTGTACCACTTCTAGCGATACAAGTCGTCCACCGGGACTCTTCCCAGCATTTGTCACCCCAGTATCTTCTCATTTGTTTCTCTGCCAGTCGTTCCTGTATCTGGCCTGGTATATGACCATGTCGGTCCTGGGTCACTACAACAACTTTTTTTTTGCTGCACATCTGCTTGACATTGCGATGGGGTTCAAGACACTGCGGACCATCCTGTCCTCCGTGACGCACAATGGCAAACAGGTCTGTTGCTTTGGTTACTCTAAACCTACACCAAAATGTTGTACGGTACAAGAAAGTCATCTCATGATGAAAGTGGCATGCCACTGTCTATCTCTTGGTCTCTTTGTGAAGGAGACTACTTTCTTGATAACAGTTATTTTGTCTTGGACTGTCTTTCCTTCCAGTTGGTGTTGACAGTCGGCCTGTTAGCCGTGGTGGTGTATCTGTACACGGTAGTCGCCTTTAACTTCTTCCGAAAGTTCTACAACAAGAGTGAAGATGGAGAATTACCTGACATGAAATGTGATGACATGTTGACAGTGAGTATTAGAAGGATTTTACTTGAGATATTTGACCATGCAGACTACTTCTCGATTAGACTGCCAAAGATGCGTATAATTCTCCTAGTATCCTCTTCTAATGCTATTAAGTCAAAAAAATGTGGTGCGGGAGAGTTGGTAAGAAAACTGTTATTCATCATACTTGGTCTTTTCCTGTGCTTTTTTTTTTCTTCTTCTTCATTGCTCTGCACACTTGCTCGCTGCGGCTATGACCGGCAGCGTTAGATAAGTCTGTTGTCGACTTGAAAAGGCAAAGTTACTTGTGATTAAAGTGGGTCCATTGCCATTTATGGATTGAAAGTCACGGGAATTTAGTTTTACAGTCTTCACCCTCGGGCACTGGCCTGTGTCTGGATAAGCTTCTGTATTTTCTATGAACTCAAATGCCGCACGTCGGACTAATCAAAGCTGAATCCAGGTTCTAAAAAAAAAAAAGAATCTGTTGCCTTTTTAAGTTGGTTTTTATACTTGTTTACATCTAATATTTTCCACTGTTAATGTGTAAATCTGTTGTAAAGAAAAAAACAAGGTCACAATATTTTAACAACTGAGAGAATGTGATTGCAAAACTTTGCACGGAGAGATGGGTCTCGAACATTTCTGTATTAATTGAGATCTCTGAAAAGAATGTACTTGGACTCATGCGTACGGACAGATTCAGCCATCTGGATTGTTTTTTTGGGTTTTTTTGTGCATGCGATTTTTTTGGGGGGGGGGGTTAGGCTGCACACTGTGTTTTAGTATGAAAGCCACGCGAGTCTTTGTTTGTTTTGTTGTGAAATGATTGACATGAGACATGACTTTTCTTGTCTCATTTTATTTCCTAACCAACACACGACTAGCACTTTTCAGTTCCACAGAACCCTATCGGCACACTAAGGTATACATTTTAAAGCTAGCATTTTGGCTAATTAGCTCCTAGCAAGTACACAACGCTTCTACAATTCACCTCGGCAGTGACGAAGATGAATTGCCGGAGTTTGCGACACACCAAGCTATTTATATCCACTGCACAAGAGGGTGACGTACCAAAGTAACCCCGTTACAAATTCCTGCATTCACTTTCTCCAAAGCACGTGCAAAATGTGATCAGTTTTCATGCGCGTCGAGGCGCCCCAAAAGGTGATTCGTTTGTAGTTTTAAAAAAAAGAATGAAGGCAGCGTGTTGTACTTCTTGTTGCTTGGGGCCTAACAATGACTGGAGGGAAACAAAATCAATATTGCAATTTAGTGTTGCACTCTCTGTTGGAATAAATAATCGATACACTGATGGCAAATATCAATAACAACACACCAACCGTTACTCCCATAATAGATTCAGCCCATTGTCACCGTCAGTACTTCATCTCTCCTGTCCTGCTTGTGTGGGCCCTAATCCCGTCACTGGGGGAGGGGGTGAAGTAGGTGAAAGCAGCGCTCGCCAAAGAACAGATGCAAGAATGCGGGAAAATAGGAATACGGGCACAGAAACGCAAATCAAAGAGCCACCAGCAAATTTCCACTCAAACGCACGGAGACACCTCGGCTTTTCCGAGACAGATTATGGAATGAACGCTGAATGAAGAATATGCAAGATGCACCACTAATCACTATTATGTGACAAATTGTGGTTATTTGCGACCATACAGCTTCATTTTTATCCAATGAAGTTTGAATGAATATTTTTCATTCATTTGAAGGGAGATGTGGAAGATTTAATTGTTTTCAGTCTATAATGATGCTATTAAGGTAACATTCTCTAACACGTATCATAATCCATCAGTTGCCCTGGAAATGAACATTTTGTTTATGTGATATACTTTAGACTTGTTACAGGGTAGAACTGGATAAAGAATGAAAGAATTGCTGCGAATCCATGTGAAAGAAATACTATATAAGGGCTCGACAGCTGATGGTGTGTGTGGGTGTGTGTGTGTTTTGTAATGGTGTGGGGTGGGGGGGGCTTTCTGTCACCCGGAAATTTCACAACTAATCCCCCATAGTCAGCCACCCATAGCATTCCATAGAGCTCCATTTATTCCTATTAAGGATTTGGGGAGCAGCCGTCGCTTTTTGTACAGAAAGGGGACAGAGGCCAAGTGGCATGAAAAGATGGACCGAAGTATGACCACCGCCGCAGTGAAAGTTTTCTTTTCGTCGCTGTCCGTTTTTCGAGAATGAATGCCTTGTGATGACTCGCAGTTTAGAGAAGGTCAAATTAGGTTCGTATAATTTGACCCTCTCTTCACTTCTGAATGTGCAACTGGACATTTCCAATTGTTCAATGCTTTGCAGTCAAGACCCGTTTTCAATGTTTCACTCCAGAAAATGAACATCGTGTCGTGGTTAAGCTCAACCTGAAATTGTCTTCAGCAGCTGTTTTTTTTTTTTTTTTTCAGTTCCAGCCAATTCTGGACCAAGCCTGAAAAGACGTTTGAAAACGTCTTTGGGAGTTAATGAGTTTTTTCATTATTGTAATTTAATAGTAGTCCACCTTTTATAGTAACAATCATTGTCTCGCTCTTCCCCCTTTTTTTTCTTTTTGTGCCAGTGCTACATGTTCCACATGTATGTCGGTGTGCGAGCAGGGGGAGGAATCGGTGACCAGATTGAGGACCCAGCAGGAGACGAATATGAGATCTATCGGATCATATTTGACATCACCTTCTTTTTCTTTGTCATTGTAATCCTGCTGGCAATCATCCAAGGTGATTTATGCAGTCTTAATTGCACACACTTATGTAAATGTACGGCATCTCAGTCCCATTATTGAGTATTGTATTATTGAGTATTCGCCTTTTATGGCCAATACGATTCAGTTCACCGCGTTACTTGAACAGCATCCGTCAAAACATCCCGATATCTCTCGGAGGGTTTAGCTTGAGCAGGGACCTAGCTTATAAAAATACTAAATATCTTATGACAATATTTTGACAAGCGGCATGCAAAAGTTGGGTCCAAATTTCTGTTTCTGTGAATAAGTAAGCAAGTGGAAGATTAGATGATTTCTAAAAGTCATGACGTTAGAGATGACACATTTCCTTTCTGTTTGAAAAAAAAAAAGCATCGATTATTTTCATGGTGCTTGCCCCAGTAGTTGAGTACAGAGTAGAAAGTAATTGCCGCATTCGCAAAACAAAACCGGTAGGATGTTAAAGAATGGTTCAAAAAAAAATGTTAAAAAATTGTCCGCAACATCAAACCGGCGTTTCAGCTTTCCATCTCTTCTGTTGCAAACTTTAGGTTTAATCATTGACGCTTTTGGAGAACTGCGGGATCAGCAGGAACAAGTGAAAGAGGACATGGAGGTAAAGAGGAAACATACAAACAAATCATCTTCAGCATGATGCAGTGAATTCAGTGATTTGGAAACACGGTGTGGACCTGTCACCTTCTCAGACAACTTTTTCATTTCTTGTCTTCCAGACAAAATGTTTTATTTGTGGAATCGGCAATGACTACTTTGACACAGTGCCGCATGGCTTTGAAACGCACACTCTCCAGGAGCACAACTTAGCCAATTACCTGTAAGTACTTCTGAGCTCCGTCAGAATTGCTGGCGTTGATCGGTGTGTGTTTTGTGGGAGGGGCTTTTTTTGAAATTCAACAGCTTCCATTTCTTTACCGTGCGTTAATAAAAATGTTGAAAGAGCATTTTGAGCCAATGTACACAAGTGGTGTCTGACGAATACAACGCAGTGCTTTATTTAAAGACATTAAATCCATCTTGAGCACTATTGGGGTTCGCATGGGATGGCCCTTGACCTCACATGGCCCCTTTCGAAAATTAATTTCACAATGACCGTATTTTCCACACTAAAAGGAGCACCTAAAAGCCTTCCATTTTTTTTCAAAAGCTCACAGCGCCTTAAAATCCGATGTGCCTTGTGTATGGGCATTACGGTAATATGTCAACCCCAAAATGGCTCCTTGCTAGAGACATGCTTACAACGCAGAGTTCAAACTTAAGGCAATCACTTTCACAGTTGAACACGGAAATAGAACAGCGGCAAGAGAGTTCAACGTTAACGAGTCAATGTTCTAACTTGCTGTTGGTTAAGTCAACTGTGTCACTGCTTTATTAAACAAGTTTTACTGACATCTGATCGTTCCGTTGCCGTTTCCTTGAGCGTAGCTCCATCGAGTGGATGCATTGTAGATTGCGTCTTATAATGCGGTGCGCCCAGTGTATGAAAAAAAATTACAAAATAGGCCATTCATTGAAGGTGCGCCTCATAATCCAGTGCACCTTTTAGTGTGGAAAATACGGTACTCTAAAGCATGCATGTTAGATTAATTGAAAACACTAAGTTGTCAAAACCGTGTTGAGTGAGGATTCTTGTATTTCTTTATGTACCTTGCCACTGGCTGACCACAAGTCCAGGGTGGAGTGAACTGTTTTCCCCCATCAGCTGATAGGCACCAGATATACCTGTCACCCAGAATGGGATAATAGAGGAACTGCATGGATGGATTGATTGCTCTATTTTTGTTACAGATTCTTCGTGATGTATCTTATCAACAAAGATGAAACAGAGCACACAGGCCAGGTAAACAATTTTACACTCTCTCTCTCTCTCTCTCTCTCTCTCTCTCTCTCTCTCTCTCTCTCTCTCTCTCTCCTTATATACCACACCTAAAAGAATTCCATTTTCTCAAAAGCCGACAGTGCACCTTATAATCCGATGCGCCTTATATGTGGATCAATATTCTGATTTCTTGGACGTAGTATTTCAAATATTCTGGAAAGCGCTTTGTTACAGCTGCAGCGGTTGTAAAAGCTCGAGTAAAGCTGTATTGTATTGTATTCCCTTAAGCGTAGCTCCATCTAGTGGATGTATAATGGAACCACAGACACGATTGTAGCTTCTATCCTGTGCGGCTTATAATGCGGTGCTCCCTACTTCTGAAAACTGTTTTAAAAGGGGCCATTCATTGAAGGTGCGCCTTATACTCCGAAGCGCCTTATAATGCGGGAAATATGGTATGCCAATGATAATGTCTCTCTCTCTCTCTCTCTCTCTCTCTCTCTCTCTCTCTCTCTCTCTCTCTCGTAAGTACACATTTATGTGTCTCATGATTTAATTGTTAATCGCGCTTCCCCATTTGTAGAATTGTATCGTATTTATAATCCTGGACCGATTTAGCAACATCATGATAAAAACTTTCGAAATATGTTAGGGATCCAACGAAAGACCCTTTTCATTACACATTACCGATAAAGCAAATTCATTTTGGTGAATCAGACCCGATGTGAATGTCAACTCCTTCCTTTCTCATGTCTGTCTTGAAGGAATCTTATGTATGGAAAATGTACCAGGAGCGTTGCTGGGAGTTCTTCCCAGCTGGGGATTGTTTCCGAAAACAGTATGAAGATCAACTCAACTGATCTGTCTCTGGAGTTTTGTCCCTCGTGGCTTTTCCGAAACCCTGCTGCATACTTATTGGAGTAGCATAAGTTGGCAAACCACAGGGATTCGACCAACCAATACTCCCCTGACAAAACGCCTTGGAGCCACATCTCCAAAATCAAACTGGACTGACCATCATCCAAGATCTTCCTCATTCAGCAGGTCAACGTGCTGAATCTGCCCCAGATTGCAGCATTCATTTTTGGAATATTTTGTGTACATGGAAAATGATCTGCTTCTATCATGTAAAATCAAATTGTTGGCATGTGACTGACAGCTTAAACTCATATATGAGTCCTTCTTTTCTTCTATTTGACATCACAGTAATAAGCATTAAAAAACGAAAATGCGAGAGGAGTTGTGGACAGAGGAGAATGACTCATTGTGTCGACCAGACACACTTGGTGGTACATGGAGTGAAACCTGCTGCAATATATCTTTCAAGATCTGCTTTTGTTACCACTGTCCAAAAATGTGACTTCGTTGAATTTTGCCTGCGATGCAGTGGGAAGACGATGTGCCTGAAGCAGAAGACTTTCCTCATGTTTGAAAAAATCGAGAGCATTTTAATGGTTTGAATTAAAGCGGAGCTTCCGGATGTGATCATGGTGTCCACAATCTGCACATGCCCATGATTGTGTGTGTGTGTGTGTGTGTGTGTGTGTGTGTGTGTGTGTGTGTGTGAAGAACGCTGTAAAATTGCCTGCGACTTGATGTTGAATGAGTTCAAGCTCAACTGAATAGTCCTGCTTGCTCTTTAATTTGCCCCTTTTTAAGGGTACAAAAACTATTAAAGTTGTAAAGTTTGAATGAGGGCTTAACATCCTGTTGAATTGTTTTATTATCAAGTGAATACAATTCATTATGTCTCTTATGATAGTTAACCTTGTTGGTTCTTTTATCTCAGACATTTTTTTTTAAGTTGTTATTGATCTGACGTTTCGGCGGAAGTCTTTCGCCACTTTCGGAGTTGCACGCTGAGCTAAAAGAACCAACAAGTTGTGTTTTATTATTAGTATCTGGATTCTTTGGAGATTCTGGGTTGGAAATCTTTTGCCTGACAATGGCTTACAACCGATTTTCATCACATGACACAATTTGCGGTAATTAAACAGACCTGGGCAAAATATGGCCTAGGGGTCACATTTTGCCCATCCACGGTTTCTCACCGACCATCACAGTGAACATGAAGTCAAATGAAAAGGTCAAATATGTGATGCTTTGCTTTTGAAAATCGTGCTTTTGTTGTATGTGTACATATGAACATGCGTACAAGCGAGATAGTGAGCAACGACTTCTGTCTGCAGTGTTGCCAACTGCGACTTTTCCAATCCTACCTGCAACTATTTTTTTTCCAAAAAGGAGACCAGCAAAAATGACAGCCATGGTCCTATATGGTGTTCATGTTACACTCTCATTTCCTGTATAGTGGAGGGAAGAGGAAATCTGGCCTGATTATACTGCACACAAATCTACAGTTTACATACTATATCAGTCGATCATTTTTCAGCATTGTCAATAATATACCTCACGAGGCCTGAAGGTATCTCGGTTCCAAAAAATGCCCGAGGCATTTGAATTTTTTTTTTTTTACCCGCTTATTTGCGTGCCCAATGTAAGGACGAATAAGTCAAGCTACCTTCTGCAAGAATTGTTCATGTTATGCACGACGGTAGCACACTGCCAACGTGGTAAGAAGTCCAATTTTAGCTAGCAAGCACCACGCGGGCCAACATTGAGATGGGCTTCGTTGATGGGCTACGTTGTATTGAATTTGTTGCTCATTACCTGGCTAACTTTTCTCAGCTGCCACCGAACTTGGAAAGTCAGGCGTTTCAAACTACACGTGCACTACGTCACAGATACCGAAATCCCCATTACATTCAAGTCTAACCTCAACAATATCCTCAGATCCGTTCAGATTTCTCATTCTGATTCCAGCTGGGCTGCCTCGCCAACTTGGATCACAGCTACATTTGTCAGATGAACGACCAAAAAGTCTTGTCGTAAGTAACAGAAATCGAATCAGGTGCTGCAGGTCAGTGAGAACCTTGAACAGAATTAGCAAGCCGCGCGCGGCCCTCGCCTGCGCGGCCCTCGATTCATTCCTGAAAATAAAAAATCTTCACTGTTGCTGAACCATTGAAAGATGTCATCCTAGTGCTAACCACAGAATGGCAGACATCGCCTCCAACCCTGAGTGTGGATTTGTGAAGAAGTGTCATGGCCGCCACAACGTCGATCTCATAAGTATATCAACAAAAACGTGAATGTATTCAATCCTTAATTGTGTTTAAAACGTATATGGTGGCTAAATTGGACAAGCGACTGTTGTGATGGATGCAGAGGGGACCAATTTTACTGCCCGATAGTGGCACTCTTCACACAGGTGAGTGAGCCATCTTATTCATTTGGGGATTTGAATGACATCCGGGAAAACATACCGTCATCCATCCATCCATTGCCATCCAACCTCACCTTGTTAAAATAGGGGCAGCGGCACCCTCAACCTTCCACTGTGTTCCAGAAGAGCGTCAACCGTGACCGCCAACAAAATCCGGAGCCTTGAGGAACATATGCACCAATTACTCGACCAACAAACACAGCTGCCAAAACACACCAAATCCTATTGAACATCTTTAGAAGGAGCTAAAACATGCAGTGTCGAGAATGCACCCTTTACATCTGAAGTAAAAGTAAAAGCAAAAAGTAAAATGAAGAGTACTGTAACATGATACAATATTAGTCAATGCTCAATGCTTTGTTATGCTCATCTTGAGCAGCATACACGAAATGTGTGTAGAATTAGGGATGGTGATAGAGAGAATACGTGATGCATGGCAAAGATCCCTTAAAAGGATTTCCAGAGCTGACAGAAATCATGAACAGAGACGAGGTGAGGGGAGTTTGGTGGGCTTCATGCTGATGGAACTGAAAGAAAAAGGGCAGAGATGCCAGGATATGTTTAAAGGGGAAAATGCCTGGAAAGTGCTCAGCGTGGGATGTGAAAAAACTAAATTATAAATCAAAAGTGGAAAAAATATATTTTTTTTTGCTAGGTGAAGGGAGAAAAAAATTCATGTGGTCACTAGCATCCCATGACTTTTGGATTAAGCAACAAAGAGGAAATAATTACTGTACATACAAAAGCCTTCTAATGTTGAATACTTTGATTTTAGAGTAAGGGCTACCGTATAAAGCGTTCCTCACCTTCGACAGATCTATTTCATCTGCAATAAGCTGACAGTACAAGGCCTGCAGTATGTCCATGTAAATTCAACTCTTTCATATAGTGTAAATTCAATTTTAATATTCCACATTTTGTTTAACGCTGTCCCCCCCACCGACACCCCTCAAAAGTATGAGCTGAACTCTCGTGAGCCAATTCTATGGGTTGTCACATTGAACCCCTCGAATGTTTTGCTGCATAGACAAAAGTTTAAAAGGCGGAGCCGTCGGCTGTAGTCACACACGCAGTTCTTGAGCAGCAAAAGAAGGCAGCATGCTGCACTAGGAGGGCTGACTTTCGAGTAGGATATCATTCGGATGCATCTGGTAAGTCTTTTTTTTTTTCCAACCTAATCACATAACTCAATTATTATCCAAATTTAAGCATAGGTTAATAATGTTTATTATGGTCGAGTATTATTTTATTAGTATTACATTAGTTCCATAAATCAATTCTGATTACGTTTACTATGAAAAAAAAAAACTGAAGTGAACAAGAATGAACAGAAGCATTGGTTTTGTCTGAGAAACACTAAATTGAGATTCCAACATATACCGCAACAGTATTTTTGCACGGCAGTGGAAACCATAATATACATAATTGTTACGTGAATTAAGCACTTTGAAGGTGGTAACTTTAACTTTCCTGTTATGTGACAGGCCAAATTGATATAGATTTTTTATTTATTTCTTTCTTTATTTTTCATGCTGACAGAATTTTTTTCAGCACAAAACGTCTGTTTAGCTTCACGGGTATAATAGGGGAAACATTAGGCAGAGATACGCTTTTCTTTTTCATTTAGCACAGGTAAAATGATAGGGATTCTTTGTGAAATATTAATATTTTGGAAGGGCTCAAAGGGAAGTGAACCAATGTTTGGATTGTGAATTAAAAACTGGCACAATAAAAAAAAAAAATTTAATCAGGATAACGATGGAAACATGACTTCCTTGGAAGAGTAAAATGACAAAGCTATTATTTGGTTCCTCTCCGAAAGTTCTTTAACCCTCCTGTTATGTCATTTGGGACCCATTTTAAAATTAAAAACAAAATGGAAAAAAAAAAAAAAAGGTTGCCCAAAGAAAGCTGGGATAGGCTCCAGCACACCCGCCACCCTCGTCCATCATTAACATAAAGCAGTCAGTGGATGGACGGACGAATTCAAATTCTTTTATTCAAAGTGAAACTTTTGCTTGGCCTACTGATCGTAATCGACACGTTTATAGGAAAATGGTTTGTACGCACAAAATTCAAACATGCATTTTGCTGTAAAAATGAGTGAAAAATCCTCTTGGAACCGCAAGAAGCGGAAGGAAGAGCGCTTAATACTGCTTGAAATGGGAATGGAGTTACGTTTTTTTCCCCCCTTTGGTTTGGCTCAGTTCTTGAAAAAGAAAAGACATTCTCCAAATAACGTCAACAAATCCCCGAACCACCTTTCAATTGTTCACAACAAAATGTCATTTCTCATTGATTGCAAAAGTATTAGTAGATGTGTCAGCTGTCTCAGTGCATCTTTGCAAATGGTTATATACTGTACAACTAAGCCGATAGTTTGCACCGGCCCGAATTTAGTGCATTTCCCAAATAAATAACTCGTGCTAATCTAAATGTATTTAGTTGATTAGCAATTGACTGGTTCGCACGTCCACCTCCCAGTGCATCCAAGGACATCGCAGGGGGATCAGTATAGGCGACGGGTTGAGTCTTTTGTGGCATTTCTTCCCTCTCTGTAATGTGGATGAAAAAATGGTGGCAAAATACCGTATTTTCCGTGCCATAAGGCGCTTCGGAGTATAAGGCATACCTTCAATGAATGGCCTATTTTAGAACTGTTTTCATGTATTGGCATTACAAGGTGTATAGAATAGAAGCTACAATAGTGGGTGCAGTTGCATTATGCATCCACTAGATGAAGCTGCGCTAAAGGCAATCCATCCATCCATTTTCCGATCCGCTTTATCCTCACAAGGGTCGCCTTCCCAGCCGTCTTTGGGCAGTAGGCGGGGGACATCCTGAACCGGTTGCCAGCCAATCGCAGGGCGCTAAAGGGAATACAATACAATGATAGCTTTATTTATATAGAGTCTTCAAAACCGCCGCGGCTGTAACAAAGCGCTTTCCAGAACATTTAAAATGCTACCTCCAAGAAATCAGAATATTGATCCATATATATGGCGTCTTGGATTATAAGGCGCACTGTCGGCTTTTCAGAATTGAATTCATTGAATGCTTTTGGGTGCGCCTTATAGTGCGGAAAATGCGGTCGTAATGTATGGAGGTTCCTTGCTGTGTGAATAATGGTTACAACATCCTTGGCAGTCTGAATGCAGTGTGTGTGACATCAAACTTTGTCGGCTGTTTTTACCTGTAAATCCTGCAGCAAAAGCAAAACAAAAGAACGGAGATGCGAACGGTCAAACCTTCATGAAATAGGCAACCCCCTCTACCAATTGAGGCACAGACTAGCATGCCCGTTGACCGGCGGTTCGACTGTTCAAATATCGGCTATTTCGTTTTGCTCCTGCTAAGACAGCGCAATTGAGAAGCATGTGTAAACAGTTTGGGGGGAGATATGAGCTTTTTGTAATCGGCTGTATTGCTGGGCAGAACTTGAAAACTGCTTGACCAAATGATCTTATAATTTAAGAATGTCATTTCTGTTTCAATAAATGAGCCGAACCAATGGAGAAAAAACTGTAATGTGAACAAAGAGTACCAAAAATGTTTTTTTCCTGACGCTTTCAGAAATGTAAACATTACGATCTTTATTGCTGTTCCTGAGGAACTGACATATCAGGAGGGTTTAACATTTTAAATTTTTATTTGTTTGCCACTTTGTTTGTTTGTTTTAACAGTGACAATTCCATGATGACAGCGCAATGGAAGACTGGTTGGCAATGCTCCTTTACCGAGAGGGGGTTCTTGAATTAAAATTTCGATTCAGATCTTTTTTGAGGAGCCTGCATGTTTTGGGTATGTTTTCGATCTGATTCCATATCTCTTAATATTTCTACCTTCCTACCATTCAACTAGCTTGCTACATACTATATAGATTACAAGTTGGCGCACACATTTTGAAAGGTTAACCAGTGCATTAAGATGAAAAATATGCAGTTTACCGTATTTTCCGCACTGTAAGGTGCTTCGGAGTATAAAGCGCGACTTCAATAAATGGCCTTTTTCAAAACTGTTTTCAGATACTGTGTAAGATGCATAGAATAGAAACTATAAAATTGGCTGCGGTTGTATTATGCATCCACTAGATGGCACTACGCTAAGGGGAATACAATACAATACAGCTTCATATAGAGCTTTTACAATCGCTGCAGTTGTCACAAAGCGCTTTACAGAACATTTAAAATACAAAGTTCAAGAAATCGGAATGTTGATCCATATATAAGGTGCATCGGATTTCAGGCGCACTATCGGCTTTTGAGAAGATTGAATGCTTTTCGGTGCGCCTTATAGCGTGGAAAATACGGTAATTAAACATGACATTGAAAATATAAGAGTCAATGATGGTGTAGTGGTACACACGCCTGACTTGTGTGCGGGCAAGCGTGGGATCGGTTCCCACTCAGTGACGGTGTGTATGTCGGTGTGGATGGTTGTTTGTCTCTACATGTGCCAAGCTACTGACTGACGACCAGTTTAGGGTGTCGTCCGCCTTCCGACTTAAGTCAGCTGAGATGGGCTCGAGCATCGCCCCGCGATCCTGTTCAGGTTAAAGCGGTGTGGAAAATATATGGATTGTAAATATTCAGTAAATCCACTATTTTCACATTTAGGATGGAAGGAATGACAATTGATGCTAAAGTTTAAAACATCAACAACGATATGAAAAGCTAATATTCCTTTTGCCATGCGCTTGAACTCAACTGCACTTCAGGTTTTGCTTCTGATGCAACTCCGTCGTGAAGGGAATACATATTCGAGTCCAATGATAACAAGAATCGGAAAAAAAAGTGTAAATTACTTAAACTTGTGTTGAAACAATGTATGTATAAATATATGCCGTAGTATGGAGAGGCTAGACTATGTGTACCAGATGACAGCCACCCTCAGTTGCAATTTTTCCAGTTTTACATTGCATGTTTGATGTTTTTGATTATTATTATTTTTTGGGGGGCGGGGGCATCGAATAACTTTCAAAATGTATGTCCATTTATGAATGTTCTGTCAAATGCCAAATGCCATCTTTCCTCGGAACTGAAGGTATGACAATATCCCAAAGCATTGGAGCAGCCATCCAAGCTTCCATTTTCTGCGCCTGCCCTCATTAGGGTTGAGGGTGATCTGGAGCCTTTGGATATGATGGTTCTGGCTTTAATTAGTACAGCCTGTATTAGTAATGTCATCTCTTCTTTACAGGCTATGCTAATCTATACCATAATCAGCAATGCAATGGAAGCTGTCTGAGTGAATGCAATGTTTTGTATGATTTTCACACAACTCTTCATGATGGACTCCAGATTAATTCAGAAGTGTGTGTATGTCTTAGCAGGTAACACTGTTGCACTGAATTTATCGGCTATTTTTTTTTCTCAAAGTACTGCTCAAACATTCATCTGCATCTCATTGTCAGAACTGTCAACAATGAAATGATAGCAAAAAAACATCAGGAAAATTCAGTGGCAACAGAAGATGGCTACCCTCTGGCTTCAGCCGCGAGGGGCCAGTTGTTAGCCCATTCGTGAATAAATCCATGCTCTCTCTCCTGTGGTTGTACTGTGGTTGAGAGGAAAGAAATTTCATCTGTGCTGTATGTTGCACATAGAGCATATTTGACAATAAAGTTGACTTGACTACACACAATGACTGCGACCCTGTAAAAAAGAGAAATGAGATGAGCCCCTAAAGCCTCCTTAGGCTTCTGCAGAATGTCTTGCGCAGTGGCTTTCAAGTGAACACCAAAGAGCAGTGTTTCACTTTTCAGACAACTGGCCACACTCCACTGGTAGAACTGACTTCAGAAAATGACTTTTGATATTTCAGTGCAGCAAACGTTGGCTCCTCTTAGACTTTAACTCCAGTAATACTCTACAACTTGACTTTTAGTTCAACCAAAGTTATTTTTTGTCAAAATGCTTGGGTAAAAATCCAAGTGTCGTGTTCACTTTATACAAAACTGTGATAAAAAAACAAAAAAAACAAAACAAAAACAATGAAGTTCCTTGTTCTGGTTCATTTCTAACAGAATAAATACAATAATAATAACAATAAAATAATAATACACTAATAGTAATAAATATCCAACTTCCTGGAAATCTTAAAATCTTTTTTCTGATTGAGATGAGGTTATTTTTGGGCAGGGAGGGGTGGAAGGTTGGATGATAAATTTAAAATAGCTTGATGTCAGGACTACAAACCAATGTTTATTCATATTATTCTTTTTCTATTGTTTTTGAATTTGTGATTGTCTGTGTGAGGACAGGATAGGGCATTTCAATTGCAACTGACCAGTGGAGAAGGGGTAAGATAAAAAAAATAAAATAAAAATAACAGGTTATGGTTCTCTCCTTTCCTTTTTAATTTTGTTGTGTTAGCATGTTGCTGTTTTTGTATATTTTAGTATTGTTGGACTACTTTAATTTCATGTATCTGTTTGTTTGTTTGTTTGTTTACTGTCGCGTGTTCACAATAAAGCCTTCAATCATTTATTCAAAAAGAGTTCCATGGCTTTAATATCAACGTTGGGTATTTGGTTAATTTAAAAAACATATTATTCATAATAACCATGCAGTGTAAATAAAAGTGCCACACACCCAAGTTCAAATTCCATTTGTTTGTGATTCCAAAAAAAAAAAAAAAAAAGGCCGAAAAAAATAATTTTCATATTATTCTTTTTCTATTGTTTTTGAATTTGTGATTGTCTGTGTGAGGACAGGATAGGGCATTTCAATTGCAACTGACCAGTGGAGAAGGGGTAAGATTAAAAAAAAAAAAAACAAAAAAAAAACAGGTTATGTTTCTCTCCTTTCCTTTTTAATTTTGTTGTGTGAGCATGTTGCTGTTTTTGTATATTTTAGTATTGATGGACTACTTTAATTTCATGTATCTGTTTGTTTGTTTGTTTGTTTACTGTCGCGTGTTCACAATAAAGCCTTCAATCATTTATTCAAAAAGAGTTCCATGGCTTTAATATCAACGTTGGGTATTTGGTTAATTTAAAAAACATATTATTCATAATAACCATGCAGTGTAAATAAAAGTGCCACACACCCAAGTTCAAATTCCATTTGTTTGTGATTCCAAAAAAAAAAAAAAAGGCCGAAATAAATCATTGCACATTTCCTGCCATTAATGTAGCATATCACCTCTATACTGATTTTTTTGTTGTTGTTTTGTTTTGGCTAGCAATCTATCACCGTGGCAAATCTTTGCCCTTTTTTTGCAAAACTGCTCCAAATCTGTCAGATCATGAGGGCATCTCCTTTGTGGGTGTGTGTGGGTGTGTGTGTATTTTCTTTCACAAAGTAAATTAAGGAATCCGATTGCTTTTACATACCATCGAATGGATGGTTGACGCTAATTACCCATTTTGCCTCTTCTCATGTTTGTCTCCATTCTTCCTGTTATAGATGCCTGTTGGTCATTATGGATGAAACCGCAAGCACCTTCCTACCAGCGACTTTTGGTACTGCCAACAACACCTACTACCTATGTTTAACATTTGAAAAGCTAATTCTATTGGGAGGAGGTACTACCACGAGGCACACAGTAATCCCTCCTTTTGTCCAGCTGTCCTCATGTTAGGAAAAATCCATGAAGTTGTGACCAGAAATTGATTTCATTATTTTCGTTAGTGACAATAGAGAATAATTTTCAAGTTAAAAAAAAAAACAAAAAACATAGGACATGAACTGATGAATTTAGATTTAGACCAGAAATCTATACATAAGCAACATAACATGTGAACATGAACAGCAGCATGAGTGAAGTTGCATCAAGTCCTTGAATGTTGAAACACATTTTTTTCCTACGCTATTATTTTCCTTGGCAAGATGACTTTAAAATAAAATCAGAGAGGCCTTTCTCACGTGAAAATGGGTCGTGTTTGACAGAGCTGCCTTTGAAACATGAGATTGGGTTCAGCTGCAGGGGCAGATATTTTCTGGTGAGCGTCTCACCACCCCAAAATTTTGTACTTTGGAAAATCCGTAACTATTTGCCTGATAGAAAGCTGTCCATATCTCAAGTTTTCCAAAAGCACGAATACATAAACTATATGCAATTGCAAATTTGACTGATTTTGTGGTGCTTGATAAATTGTCCAAAAATTTCCAAGTGGCCCTTGCATCTTTTGATTTTTCTGTATCAGGCCCTCTGAGGAAAAGGTTTGCACACCGCTGTGTTTAGAGGACTTGTCGTAACTCTCGTTAAAAGAAGGGAATGGCCCTGTGAGTTGGAGAAACGTGATTGGATTGAGGGCTCCGAATCATTCCATCTCTGACAGAGAACCCACGAAGTTTTTTTTTTCCAGTTTCTTCCCATTCATGCAAACTCGCACTCAATCGTCTCATCAGGATTTCTTCATCGAGGAGCCATGTTTAACTCATCACCATCACACTGTCGCCATGAAAAACAAGGCTCAGCGATGAATTCATGGAGGAAAACAGTTTTCAAACATGTCATCCCTTATACTGGTTGGAAAACGTGATTTCTTTCCATTTCAGATGGCTCTTACCAGGAAGCTGCCATATTGTCTGGCGGTGTTGGCGCGTGGAGTACCCATCATTTTAATAGCAATCATATTATTTGGCACGAAGCAAACTTCACTGACTCACCGGGAAATAGCACACTAATCCAGGCAACAGCCGACTTTGACCCATTAGGAGGACATACAGTCTGGCAGGTAACAATCAGATTTCACCAGAATCAAAGCATGAAAAATCCTGATTTGTTCGAATTCTGTTTTTTTTTTTTTTTAGATTCGTGATTGTATGGTATTGTGACTGTACCGTATTTTCTGCACTATAAGGCGCACCAAAAAGCATTCAATTTTCTCAAAAGCTGACAGTGCGCCTTAATATCCAATGCGCCTTATATAAGGATCAATATTCAGAATTCTTGGACGTAGTATTTGAAATGTTCTGTAAAGCCCTTTGTTACAGCTGTAGCCCTTGTGAAAGAGCTACATAAATAAAGCTGTATCGTATTGTATTCACTTTAGTGTGGCTCCATCTAGTGCATCGATAATGCAACCGCAACCACTATTTTAGCTTCTATTCTATGCGCCTTATACTGCGGTGCACCCTATATATGAAAACAGTTTCAAAATAAGACATTCATTGAAGGTGCGCCTTCAACTCCGTGCGGAAAATACGGAAAACTGAGCAGATTTTTCATCTTAATGCACCGGTTAACCTTTCAAAATGTGTGCGCCAATTTGTTATCAATATATGTACCAAGTTAGTTGAATGGTAGAAAGGTCGAAATATTATGAGATGGAATCAGATCGAAAACATACCCAAAACATGCAGGCTCCTCAAAAACTACATCTCGACAGCAAGCTAACAACAGTATTTTCCATCTATGGTTTTAAAAGACATCAATATTAAAAAAATTGTAGTAGTGTTGTTTTCATTTAATTTAATCATGTAATTAATTTAATATGCAGTTAACACTACATATTTGATATTTTTTCAGGGTTCAGTTGAGCTTCACTATGTTATAAATTATTAGGCAGTAGTTCATTATTTTTTCTCACTAGTAAATGCAATCTACACTGAATAGATGTTTTATGTCATCATCAATTTCTACAACCGTCTGAAGATTGTTTTTATTCAAAATTACCATTTTTTTTTCCATCTTTAGGTTATCGTAATTGTCTTACTCACCGGATCACTTTCACTTGTCACCGTTGTTGGGAACATCTTAGTCCTGTTGTCCTTCAAGATCAATAAGGCACTGAAGACCGTGAACAACTACTACTTGCTGAGCTTGGCGTTTGCCGACCTGACCATTGGCACTTTATCCATGAACTTGTATACCACCTACATCATCATGAATCAGTGGGCTCTGGGGCCAGTGATCTGTGATTTGTGGCTCGCAATTGACTATGTAGCCAGTAATGCTTCAGTCATGAACCTCCTCGTCATAAGCTTTGACAGGTAACGTGTTTGTTTTTTTTCGACCTCCGATAGTATTTTCATGCTTTCAGTTTTTCCTCAGTTGCTTTGGTACATTTCTCAGATCAGAATTGAATTTCTCAAAAGTACTTGCATGTGACGAAAATCAAAAAAAGCGATCAGAGACATCATGCTCAAAGCGCGCATGACTTCATACACGCCTGCTCCAGGCAAAGGTTGAAAGTAAACAAGAAGCTGCATTGACGAAAAAATACATTGTCTCACTTCTCCTGTCCCATGTAAATCCGCTTCATTTCCAAGTGCCGACTTTCAATTCCTAATACGCATCCGTGCTCCACGCTGACGCTGCCCGTATGGAGCAGCAGCGTTAAAATCATTTCAATGGCTAAATTTCTAAAATGGTTTCTAAATCGTGTCTTTTTTTTTTTCTCTCTCTCTCTTACTTTTTTTCATTAGGTATTTCTCCGTTACCAGGCCTTTGACCTATCGCGCAAAGCGCACAACCAAGAGGGCCATGACCATGATTTGTTTAGCCTGGTCAATATCATTCATTCTTTGGGCCCCAGCCATCCTGTTCTGGCAGTACATCGTTGGGGAGCGGACAGTGCCGTCTAATGAATGCTTCATCCAGTTTCTGTCTGAGCCCATCATTACATTCTGCACGGCGATAGCTGCATTTTACTTGCCAGTTACTATCATGACAACCCTGTTTTGGAAGATCTTTCAGGAGACAGAGAAACGTGCTAAGGATATACAAGGTCTTAAGGGCTCGGGCGCAGGAAACAGCCAGAGTCAAAATCACAGGAGTGACGATGGCGTGACCAAGAGCCAAAAGGAAAAATCAGACACAACGTCGACACAGCAAATGCACTCGGCGAACGAGAGGAACGATGAGCAAAATCAGCAGGCTTCAGACAACGGCAAGGACAACTCGAGTATTCCGAGAGGAATGGAAAGCGCGGGGAAACGTCGTGCGTTCCTTTTCCACTTTTCGTCGCATTTCTGCCGCAGTTTCAGAAGGGCTGACAACACCGTCCCTGCAGATCAGAGCTGCTGTGACAGTTTAAACAACAATGACGCTTCCGAGGATGAAGAGGAAGTAAATGATGCAGACCAAACAAGACTTGCCACAGGTCGGATATGGTCATCCTAACCTGTGTTGAGCGTTCTTAAAACTTTCGAATCGTGCCTACATTATATAGGATTTTTATTTTATTTTATTTATTTATTCATTTTGGTATTGTCTATTCCAAATACAAAGTGACACATATTCTGGATGACTATTTTACTAAATTGCAAGAAAACACAAAAGTCAGCAGTGATCCGTGACAATATCAAAGTTAAAAATCACAAGTAACTCATACTTTACTGTTAAATATTCTATCCCATTTAGTTGGCCTGTGCTGACTCTCCCCCCTTTGGTTAAAATAAGGGTAACCGCCACACTATTCCATTCTTTTGCTTTTTTTTTTACCCTTTAATGCACCCTGTAACCTAATAACATGATAAGCTGTCCACTGTAGTAACCGAAAGGGTTAATGATCAACACGCCTCTAATATTTAGAGCATATCTTTTGCTCTGGGTGGCCCAGTGGTCGACAGGTTAGTGCGTCGGCCTCACAGTGCAGAGGTGCGGGATTCAATTCTGGCCTTCCTGTGTGGAGTTTGCATGCTCGCCCCCGTGCCTGCGTGGGTTTTCTCTGGGTACTCCGGTTTCCTCCCATCCATCCTTTCATTCATTTTCCGATCCGCTTTAACCTCACAAGGGTCGCGGGGGGATGCTGCAGCCGATCCCAGCCGTCTTCGGGCAGTAGGTGGGGGACACCCTGTACCGGTTGCCAGCCAATCGCAGGGCCCACAGAGACAAGCAACTATCTGTGCTCACACCCCAACCTAGGGACAATCTAGAGTGTTGAAAATGGTTTCTAAATCGTGTCTTTTTTTTTTTCTCTCTTTCTCCTAATTTTTTTCATTAGGTATTTCTCCGTTACCAGGCCTTTGACCTATCGCGCAAAGCGCACAACCAAGAGGGCCATGACCATGATTTGTTTAGCCTGGTCAATATCATTCATTCTTTGGGCCCCAGCCATCCTGTTCTGGCAGTACATCGTTGGGGAGCGGACAGTGCCGTCTAATGAATGCTTCATCCAGTTTCTGTCTGAGCCCATCATTACATTCTGCACGGCGATAGCTGCATTTTACTTGCCAGTTACTATCATGACAACCCTGTTTTGGAAGATCTTTCAGGAGACAGAGAAACGTGCTAAGGATATACAAGGTCTTAAGGGCTCGGGCGCAGGAAACAGCCAGAGTCAAAATCACAGGAGTGACGATGGTGTGACCAAGAGCCAAAAGGAAAAATCCAACACAACGTCGACACAGCAAATGCACTCGGCGAACGAGAGGAACGATGAGCAAAATCAGCAGGCTTCAGACAACGGCAAGGACAACTCGAGTATTCCGAGAGGAATGGAAAGCGCGGGGAAACGTCGTGCGTTCCTTTTCCACTTTTCGTCGCATTTCTGCCGCAGTTTCAGAAGGGCTGACAACACCGTCCCTGCAGATCAGAGCTGCTGTGACAGTTTAAACAACAATGACGCTTCCGAGGATGAAGAGGAAGTAAATGATGCAGACCAAACAAGACTTGCCACAGGTCGGATATGGTCATCCTAACCTGTGTTGAGCGTTCTTAAAACTTTCGAATCGTGCCTACATTATATAGGATTTTTATTTTATTTTATTTATTTATTCATTTTGGTATTGTCTATTCCAAATACAAAGTGACACATATTCTGGATGACTATTTTACTAAATTGCAAGAAAACACAAAAGTCAGCAGTGATCCGTGACAATATCAAAGTTAAAAATCACAAGTAACTCATACTTTACTGTTAAATATTCTATCCCATTTAGTTGGCCTGTGCTGACTCTCCCCCCTTTGGTTAAAATAAGGGTAACCGCCACACTATTCCATTCTTTTGCTTTTTTTTTTACCCTTTAATGCACCCTGTAACCTAATAACATGATAAGCTGTCCACTGTAGTAACCGAAAGGGTTAATGATCAACACGCCTCTAATATTTAGAGCATATCTTTTGCTCTGGGTGGCCCAGTGGTCGACAGGTTAGTGCGTCGGCCTCACAGTGCAGAGGTGCGGGATTCAATTCTGGCCTTCCTGTGTGGAGTTTGCATGCTCGCCCCCGTGCCTGCGTGGGTTTTCTCTGGGTACTCCGGTTTCCTCCCATCCATCCTTTCATTCATTTTCCGATCCGCTTTAACCTCACAAGGGTCGCGGGGGGATGCTGCAGCCGATCCCAGCCGTCTTCGGGCAGTAGGTGGGGGACACCCTGTACCGGTTGCCAGCCAATCGCAGGGCCCACAGAGACAAACAACTATCTGTGCTCACACTCACACCTAGGGACAATTTAGAGTGTTCAATCAGCCTGCCATGCATGTTAATGGAATGTGGGAGGAAACCGGAGTACCCGGAGAAAACCCACACAGGCAAAGGGAGAACATGCAAACTCCACACAGGGAGGCCGAAGCTGGGATTGAACCCGGTACCTCTGCATTGTGAGGTCGACGCGCTCACCACTAGATCACTGGGCCGCTCCGGGCTGTATTACATCAGTCTATTTATGCTAGGGTGCATTAGCAGATATCCAGAATTCCGTGTGAAAATTTACATTTGGAAGACACCTGCTTTTTGACCTTTGGATATCTGAATCAATGCACGTTTTGTTCCCCTTCAGCAGGAATCTCCAAATTGTGCCACTTGAGAAAAAAAAATTGGAATTGTGTCACAAATCAAACCTACAACATGCTGTAATACGATGTCTCATTTGTTCTCCGTAGATGGAAAGAAGACTAAAAGGACAAAGGACCGAAAATCATCCGAGTCCAAACACCCGCCACCTCCTGAGGACGCCTCCCCTGAAAATATCTCCATGAAAGATGCGAAAAGGTTTGCCTCCAAAGCCAAGACAGAGGTGAACAAACGCAAGAATGAAAAAAAGGCTAATGACAAGAAAGCGGCACGGACGCTGAGTGCCATCCTTTTGGCCTTCATCACTACTTGGTTACCATACAACATCATGGTCCTAGTTAACACCTTCTGCCAAGACTGTATCCCGGGAAATCTTTGGGCGCTGGGATACTGGTTGTGTTACGTGAATAGCACGGTCAACCCGATGTGCTACGCCCTGTGTAACAAGACTTTTCGAACCACGTTCAGGGATATCTTAATGTGCCAGTGGAATCAAAACAAAAGCAAGCCTCAATTTCATAAAAGGAATGCTGCAGCTTGCCGAAAGAAAGATCAAATGTAGAGCAGAAATATGACTAAAACAATTTCAAAAATGCGACAGGACTTTTAAATGGTAACTCTAATATTTGGGGAAAGTTTGGCAAGACATGCTTACGCTAGAAAAATAACCAGACCTGTACTGTGATCCTCAGAAATTCCAATACTCTTTCCAAAAACTTTAAGAGTATTCATTGAACTACAGTTTACATTTCGAATTTCTGATCCATTCATTGAAGGTACGCTTTATAATCCGAAGCGCTTTATAGTGCAGAAAATACGGTAATATATAAGGTAAGTGATTGTGTTCCCATACTGTACCGACTGAACAGAAATCCACGGGTCAGTCATGCACAGGGTTAAAATCTACACAGACTTCCTCTACTACAGTTGCACTGCAACAGTCGAGTAAAAACTAAGCAATGTAATGTTTGTCACAACGTGTAAAAGTTTCAGATACAGAAAGGAACATTGTCGCAGTGATCCTCTTTCACAGTTGCTGACATATGTACTAAGTGTAGTAGTGTGACAAGTCTAATCAATATGGATTGAATTTAGTCATCGAGTTACTTCGTTAATGAGTATATAAACAGGACTAATGATGACATTTCTGGCACTTTTGGATCATGGGTCAAATGAGGCTTAAGTATGGAGCGATATACAGATAGATGCCATTTGTCAGACCATGAAATATCTTATCTCTACTAAGGCAATTAGAGTGCTACGGTGGTTAGTAAGGGCTCTATGAACCCGCTCTATGATTAGTTGGCAAGTGTCATTATCAGAAATCCACAAATAAGCTCATGCAAGCTGATATTCCGAGGAATTCTCCAAGTCAATGCGTCAAAAATACAGTGACGATTCAAATGGCATCACGATCCCTTCGAACGCAACCTACTGTAAATGTACACCAAAGGAACATTGTGAGAAGAGTGTAGATCGGGGGTGCCCATTACATCGTTCGCGATCGACCGGTAGATCGCGACTGGTCCTAAGTCGATCGCGAGGGGTGTAGAGGAGAAAACAAACAAACAAGCATTTGTGTGTCTTTGTGCATGTTAGTGATATATATTTTTTGTGTTAATGTACACTGCACCCTAATCATCTTATCAGTCTCATTTTAACAAAAAGTATAAAAATAAATAAATAAATAAAATAAAGCGGGTAAATCTTTAATCTACGGTGACGCGTGACCTGCGTCACTGGAAGTTGTTAGTGCTCAGCAGTCTGCAATTGCAGCTTGTGATCAGAGCTGTTGCGCTCTATCTTTTATCATTATCATTATTCTCATTCAGAGTTTGTTTCGTGTACATTTCACCGAGGGCACGGGCAAAGAATAGGAATCTCGAGGGCCGAGGGAGGCACTTTAAAACGGTACGTGTGAGCTACGATAGTTAACAGGCTGCAAAAGTGCGTCGCATGCCCCCGTGTCAGCCTGTTGCTCATCTTGGCGTGCATGCGTATGTGCGTGCGCGTGCTCGGTAACGGGTCGATTGCGGGGAGGTTGCTTGATTGAAAAGTCGATCTTCGGTCCAAAAAGTTTGGGCACCCCTGGTGTAGATCATGAATAATTTTTTTGTGTTGTGCATTCAATTGTTATGGAGGTTTTTTTGAGCTATTTGAAATGCTCATTGCATGTTTTTTGGGTTTTTTTTTTTTTTTTAGACCACTCGGTGTCGGGTCATTGTATATGTTGCTGTTTCTGTTGCTGTCACAACTTCTGTTGGTTTGTGTTTATCACATCATATTTTTTTGCATATGCCATGGGTTTTGTTGTTACTTTGAATTCTTGTTGAATACATTTTTTCAAGTTCACCCTGCCCCTCCCTCTTGCCTGCTTTTTGGGGTCCTCCACCAGCACGTTCATGGCAGTTATTGTATGTCTACATGTGTGGCTCCACCTTATGTGTTCAAATATCTCTTGCTGTAAGGATTTTAACGTTGCGACACCAATGTTGTTCCTTAGCCCATCTATGGCATATTGCACTGTCACTTAGCATTAAGCTACACCGACTGTAAAGTAAAGCTATGTGGTTGTCTTTTTGTTTTAGTTTGACAGTAAAGCTCCACAGGTAATAGCAATAAACAGTTTGACCCTTCTTTTTTTGAAGAAGAAGAATTGTTCACTGTTCTGCCAAAGTGCTGCTTTTTATAAAGTGAGTTGAGTTCGCTGCCAACATACAGCAATAATATCAATTTTTTGTCTGTAATTCCAAGCAAACATTTGTTTTTCAAAATTGTTAACGATGGCTGGTATTTCTAGAAAAACTTTCAGAGTTTCTTCAGCTATCCACAAATCTATCGCTACATTTGACACAATGTTTTACTATATCATTTTAGTTACAACGTCAAACAATAGTACATCCTTAACTGGTTGCAAGCCAGGCAGGGCACACATAGGCGGACAACCGTTCACACTCCCAATCACACCTACAGATAATTTAGAGTGATCAATTAACTTACCATGCATGTTTTTGAAATATGTTAGGAAACTGGAGTACCCGGAGTAAAAACCCACCCAGGCATGGGAGAACATGCAAACTCCACACAGGAAGGCCAGAGCCGGAATCGAACCTTGCACCTCTGCACTATGAGGCCAACGTGCTAACCACTTGTCACTGTAATGCTCGATGGGATACATATGTGAAGTATCCCTTTAATTTTTTTTTTTTTTTTTGAGAGGGCACTTTAAAAATGCAACCCTATCCAGTCTCCACATTGGTTAATGTGAACAGCAAAATGAGAATCATGGGTAATGTAGTGAGGAACTCTCACTGGAGTGGGAGTGAATGAGCCTTTTGTCACTCTTGCAGCCGCTCATTCTTCCTTTTATTGGGTATGACTTACTTCTCTTTACATGCCATGTGCGCGTCACATTTCGCATGATGCTTTGCTGATGGAGGTCCACTGAGCATGCGGTGCTTTGTCACAGCAGATGGAGAGCAAAGGGGG